TTTAAGTAAAGTTGGAAACTTGAAAAAATAACTTCGTGTGAGGATCCCAAAAATGAGGATAATGATTGACTTAAAGATCGAGGATATTGATGGAATGTGTTTTTGAAAAAAAATTCTGAGTTGGAGTTTAAAATTGTCTAAACATTCATTATTCTGGATGTTAATATCTTATTTACAGTCAAAATATTTTACTTTCATTTATCTTTGAGTTGTTTCTTATCTTACCTTTTTTTTTCGTATTCTTTACCAAATGTACATCCCCTTAATGAATCAAGGAAATATATCATATTTGTCATGAATTAGAATGGTGGTAAATAAATGAATGACAATGTTCATAAAGATTTTTCATTCTTTTAAAAAAAATCTAAAATGAAAAAGTGAAAGAAGCATGAAAAGGTGATTTGAAAAGGAAAAATGAGATGATTCAGTGATGAATACAATAATAGGTTGGTCAACATAACCTATTAAACTAGGACCAAATGAAGAAAATAACATGAATCAAAAGATGAGATGTGTTCTGAGATTGTTAATATTGAGAAGCTGAAAAGGAACATATGAGATGGTAGAGTCTTGAAAACCTTGTTATCATAATTGTAATTTCATGGCATTGATTTAGTAATATTTGCATTACATGCAATGTTAAATCCATGAAAATCACATTTGCATCATGATGGGCATGCATGTAAAGCATGTTTGAATCATTGTATGACATTTGCATTTGCATCATTTAGTGAGAATATGGCTTGTTGCATATATAAGGCACTGGCATTATTAGTATGACATTTGTTTTTGTTGGAAGAAAATATTTGACTTTTAATTCCTCAAATGAGGAAAATCTTTCATTTTTGGACAAGGAAAATTTTTTAAACTTCTAAAGTTTTAGAGCTTTTGTTTAAATGAGCTTTTTTAAATGTGAATCCCAAAATTTTTTGAATGAGAATCTTTAAATTCTTGAGGTGAGCCTTAAAATTTTTTATGTGAATTCATGAATTTGTTTATTTGAAACTTTAAATCTTTTGAATACGAATCTTTAAATATAGTTTGCGAATCGTTACAAGCTTGAAAATTCTTGCAAAACAAAAATTCTTGCAAAACTTAGAATTTTTGCAAACCTTTGTGAATTTTGACTTTTTACAAATTTTGAAATCTTCGTGAATTTTTTTACGAAACTTGAAGTATTGGGATCTTTCAACTTCTATTATGGAACTGTGCAAATTTTTGAATTTTCAAATTGTGAATATTTGGATTTCAAACTAAAAATTTTGAATTTTATTTTTCAAACTTACGGTTCAATCCCAATCTCTTAGTTTCGATCTCGGCTCAGTCCAAATCATTTTATTTTTTAGACTCGCGATTCAATTTCGATCACTTGTTTCGATCTCAACTGAATTTAAATCATTTTATTTTTTTAGAACTACGATTTAATCTCAGTCATTCATTTCGATCTCGACTTAATCTAGATCTTTTTATTTTTCAGACCCTACGATTTAATCCCGATCGTTCAGTTTCGATCTTGGCTCCGTCTAGATCATTTTATTTTTTTGACCTGCGTTTCAATCTTGGTCACTCATTTTGATCTTGACTCAATTTATATCATTTTATTTTTCAGACCCGCAATTCAAACCCAATCACTTGTTTTTATCTCAACTTAGTCCAGATCATTTTTTTTAGACTTGTGGTTCAATCCTGATCACTTGTTTTAATCTCGACTCAATCTAGATCATTTTATTTTTTAGACTCACCGTTCAATCTTGGTCACTCTTTTTGATCTCGGCTCAATCTAAATCATTTTATTTTTTTGACCTATAATTCAACCCCGTTCACTCGTTTTCGACTCAACTCAATCTAGATCATTTTTATTTTTTTGACCTGCAATTTATCCCGGTCGCTTATTTTCGATCTTGGCTCGATCCAGATCATTTTACTTTTTTAACATGCAGGTTTTTCCAGTCATTCATTTCGATCTCAACTCAATCCAGATCCTTGTAATTTTTTGACTCGCAGTTTAGTCCCGATCATTTTCATTTTGGTACACCTCATTCACTTTTAACTTTGATTCAGTTCAATCATTTTCACATTCTAATTTGACTTTGTCCGAATCATTTTAACTTTGAATTTTGATTTAATTTGTTAAACCGAATAAAATGGATGTCTTTTATCTTTGTGTAATTCTTGTTTCACAAAAACTATGCAAAAAAGAGAAACTGTAAACACACTATTTTGTCAGAGATTTATTTGGGACAAAAAATGAAACTTCGAGCCCAATAGTAAAATTTTCAATTTAATTTGATTTTACTTGTTTTCAAAAAAAGTCAAAGAAAAAAAAAGAAAGAGAAATCAGAAAATGAGTGATTTTGGCTTGATTCATGCAAACCTATAAAAGAAAAAACTTAAAATCAAATCACAGATTACAAAATCGTAATAAAATCATAATTAATTTAATTAATTTTTTAAAATTAAAGGGATTCAATCCCTAAAATAAACAAAAACCACGTATAAATGGGATCATTAAAAAAATAGATATATATAACAACTCTTGAGAAAAAAGAAAGAAAGGAGAAAAAGATTCTATAGAAACTCTAGAGAGACAAGAAAGAAATTTGTTTAGCAATCAAGAGATTTTAGGTTATGGGTTTGATTTGTTTAGATTTCTAGAATTGGGATTTAATGTTTTTAGGTTTGAGTTTCTGTATGGTTTTGCATTCTAGAGATTTCTGGGTTTAGTTTTTTGGACCGACCCTCAGTGTAACTTAATTTTGATTCGTTCCTTCATCTACTGCACTGAGCCTAGCTGCCTTGGAAGCCAAGTTCCAAGCCGCTCAAGTTGATTTGTGCCTGTAACCGCCTTCTTCAACCGCTAAGCCAGGCCAATTGCAGGTAATTTTGTTTTTCTTTATATTTATGTTATTTACTTCTTTATTCATTTATTTATTTGTCTATTGTTTTTAGTATTCTTTAAAAAAAATTATATAACAAAATAAAATTTTAAATAAATGCCTTACTAACAGATTGGAAGACAATCATTTTTTTTTTATAATAGGATTTTACCAACCTATTGGAACACCTTATAATTTTACTTATTTCAAAAAAATAAAAATAAAAAAATTACCAATAGATTGGAGAATCTCATAAATTGATTTTTTTTTTAAATCTACTATTAATAAAATATTTTGTATTTTATGTTACCAAATTATTAGAGGATTTGCATTTTAAATTAAATCTTACCAAACTATTAGAAGATTAGTTTGGTAAGATTTAATATATTTTCTAAAAAAAATCTTATAACAAAATCTCATCAAACTATTGAGACATTTGCATCAAAATAAATCTTACCAAACTATTAAAAGATTTTATTGATTTTCTCTTTAACTAAAATTTAAATAAATACGACTATGGAACCTCTTTAGAGTGAGATACTAATTTTTGTGAAATGAATATTCTTGAGGTGAGAAAATTATCTTAAATTACTACCAAACTATTGGAATAATTTTAAGATTAATTTTTAATATTAAATATTTTAGTATATTATAAATATGATTAAAGCTTGGATAATTTAAAATTAATCTGGTACCATCATTTGGATGGGTGTTATGAGGGTATTATAATATTTCTCAAGCGTAATCGTACTCTCGAATTTAAAATCTGATTTTGTAAACTAAAATTTATTATTTAAAGATACCTAAATCAATCTTGAGATTTTTCTTTAAATAGAATAAATTTGATCAGATAACTAATCACACTTAAATAAAAAATATTGATAACAACTTTTTTAATTTATATCTAATTATAAGTTCATATATCTATATTACGGCACAAGAACTTACAAATTAAGATTATGACCAAACCCCTTTAATCTGCCGACATATTTCCAATTCCCCCATTAAGATTTTCACATGTAGCAATCAAAATTTTACAATCAAGACAGTGCTGATTAATGTAATAGGGTCCCCTCCCCTTCTATTATTATTTTTTTATGTGAAAATGGTTCATGAATTAGCAGAAACTGATCAGACACATCGGCAGTGGTGAGAAAATGACTTCGGAAAAAAATGAGGCATTGTCTTGAGTCGGAGACAAGTAATCACAGAGCGAAGGCCACTTGTCATCGCGCAGGTAAGACATGATGACGGGAAAGGTGGCAGGGGCTCTACCCCATTTCAGTGTGACAAACAGGAAATATATAAAAAGGGCCGAAACTGCTTGTCATTTTGGTTGAGGGCTCTATCCATCCTTTCAATTTCGATGAGCTAATTGCTCATTTATGGTGTTTCTTAGAACAGAACAAAGCTGGACATTGATGCTTTGAAATTAAGCATAGTTGAAGAAAACCCAAACTTGCCAATATGATCAGGTTTTTAAAGATGGAGCCTTGGGAGGTAAAGTTGCCTAGTTGGTAACCAAGATGTTCAATACAATTGGAAAAGGTACCTTTTTTTTTTATATATAGATTGATGTGAAACAAAACAAAATGATAGAGTAACTAAAAAAGTTCTCATTAAAAATTAAAGGATAAAAATACTAAATATCCAGTTTTCAAAATATTTGACTTGCAACTTGCAAGTCCCAGCTAAACACTTTTTACAATGATTTCGATACTAAAAGTGGGAACTTGTAGCTAAAAATGAGACAGACGGTGTCTTTTACTTATCCTCATTTAGCTGCTGTAAGTCTAAGATTGTAACTGCTGAGAATCTTATCTAAACTACTAATGTAAAAGTTCAATTTAGTTAAGCTTAAAGACGCTAGACTGAAGTAAAGACAGATCGATGATATATAAGTAACCACGGTTAAAGGGGTATAGAGTCCTGAAAACCCGGGAGACTAACCACAGTTTGTTTTAGAGTTGGGGTGGGGGTTGCTATATAAGGAGAGAAGGATGGCACAACAACCATTACCGGGCTTCAAAAAGCTAACATATATCTTTTCTGTTAAAACCCAGTTTTCCTTTCTCTATGTTTCATTGATCCCATGAAAAAAGATCCTGTTTAGTTCTTGTTTTTGGTACCTTCTACAGAGCAAAGTTGACCACTTTTGTGTAAGTTTCTTTGCATGAACAAAATCAAATCTTTTACTTTTTTAAAGCTTGCTATTCTACTTCTGGAGCGTCTTTAAAGAATTTTTTTTTATAATGAAGCAAATGAAGGACATTAACCATTAAGGGTAACTTAATGGGTTTTTTTATTATGCATGAAAATGTTAGATCTCATATCACCTTCGTGATGCAATTTTTTTTGTTATCTAGTTGGGGTGCGCTCTGGTGTTTATTTAATTGTTTTTTCAAAATTGGAAGTATGATATCTTTTGCTTTCCTCTTTTTGTTATAACTGTGATCATCTATTTTGACCAAGTTTATTACCATCAAGGTTTGAGCATGGCTAGATCTTGGTGATAGAAAAGCTTATTGTTATTAACTATAGACAGTTTTGAATGCTCTCAATTCTTCTGTTGGGTTCGTTTCATTAGAAAATGTTTCATCTTTCAATTTCTTTTGAGCTTTTACTTTATGAATATAGGTGAGATCAGACTCTTTTATTTAAAGCCTATCCTATCCTTGTGCCATGAGGCCAGTAACAAGAGGCCATTTTTAACCCATCCTCATCAATGTTGTACTACTTGTTATTTTTTATTCATTGAAAAATCAGAATTCTTTGATGATTTTTCTCCTCAAATGTTTCAGTGATATCACTTTCCCAATTGAATGCTGGTTCATTTGCAGGTTACCACTGTTTGCACTCATCAGTCATCACTTGTCATGTGAAGGTTTTCCCCCTCTGATTTTAAGGTAATTTTCAAATTTAATTTAGTGATCTTCTTTCTCTTTTTCTTTGGTGTTTGTGCCTTGCTCAGTGATTTGTTTATCTTTGAGGTTATCTGCATGCGTGTTTTGGAATTAAAAGCTTGATGATCTGCTTTCTTTTGCTTACATGATCTGATCTTTTATATTGATTTGTATCTTTATATGGTATTGTAATGGATGTTTTTAATGTATTCCAGGTCATATATATCAGCAAGAGAGTAGCATCATTTCTATTCTTTCCTTAATTTGTTCCTTGGTGACTGAATCAAATTATCTTCTTGCATATACCTTTCCGTTATATAACCATTTATTCAGCTAAACTTGGCTTTATCTTGAATTTCTCGAATTGCACATCTCTTATGTGTTCTGGATCCCACAAAAAAACGCCGACTTTGATACAAAAAATGGGTATCTCAAGTCTCCCACCTCCATCAGAAGGAGTGTTATGTGTACTCTTGGTAAACACAGCTTTTTCTATATCTATAGTTAAAGGCATAATCCGATCAATCCTTCACATTGTCGGTGTTCATCTCTCGTCCTCATCTTCATTCTCAGATTCTGTTGAAAATCCCTCAGTATCTTTTGACTTCGGCCTTAATACTTGTGATAGTTACATTGAGGAGTTCCGGAGTAGGACCCCAGCAATTCGGTTTGATACTGTATGTAGCTGCAAGCGGCCTGAGCATGACTGTTCAGTTTGCCTGAGTCGGTTTGAGCCTGAATCAGAGATTAAACGCTTGTCCTGTGGCCATCTCTTTCACAAGGTGTGCCTGGAAAAGTGGTTGAATTATTGGAATTTTACATGCCCTCTTTGCAGGACTCCTCTGCTGCCTGAAGAGGAGGCTTCCTGCTTATTGTAAGAATGTCAAAAGGATGCGGAGTTGAGGAAATTTACATGTACAGCATATTTATGGGGCATGTATCTAAAGGAATGGTATCAGCATGGGATTAGTGTTAGGCCAGTGTTGTTACCCGCAAGTTTACCTTGATGTGGTGATGTGTTACTGAATATACATATTGTCAGGGTTTCTGATGTTATATGCAATCTTCTGTCTTGAGGTTCATGGAGATTTTGTCTTCTTTCCTGCTTTACTCTTTCGTGCAATGGGTTGGATTGAAAAGCAAACTAGATAATTACCGGAACTAAAATCTGCTGACAGGATTCTGGCTTGTGATGCACTTGCTGTTCTAGTGTAATATGTTGATGTCAGGCTTCTGATGTTTTTTATGGCATCTATCTGGCTTCTGATTTTTTTATGGTATCTATCTGGCTTCTATCTCAGACCATGTTTCAAGTTTGTGACAGGTTTCGTTTCTTTTTGCCACTCATTTGTGGACATCCAACATTCATGCCCAATTATGGGCAATGTGGATTGGGATGAGAGAGTCTGAAGAGATTTTAATCCACAACATCCACCTGGTGTTACTGAGATTTTCGTATTACTTTACAGCTCTTCTCCAATGGGAGAAGAAAGAAACTGAAATCTTAACTTGGTTTATCTTCAGGAGAAAGTATGTTTAGGAATTTGGTAATGATAAAAAAATATATTTCCTATTTGATATGATCATACAAATTGTAATATAATAAAATTTGTGTTTTATACAGTATTATATATTACAAATATAATATAAATACATAAATTATCAAATTTATCTAAAAACTACAATAATAAAAATAAAAAATAAAAAAAAAAGCTTAACTTTTCTAGAATCAGATGTGGAAAATGAAAAGACGTGTCATAGTAGGCGTCAAGACAAGGAGAAAGAACCGGTGTATATCTGCCGTTAGCACAAGATGAACCCATTTATCCATCTATCATCCACTCCAATGCTTTTACCCTCTTCCCAAGCTCCAAGCAGTGAACCTCCACACTCTCTCAAATGACGAAACTGACCATATCATCTCCTCAAATTTACCAACCTTGGAGCTTCGCCACGCCCTTCTTCACTGAGCTTCAGCACTCCACTTTCATGGATGTCTTAAAAGTTTGCCCTAGGCCTTGCGGTCTCTTCTCTTCACGAACATCCTCTTGTCTGTTTCGTTCCTTTCAGTTGTTATCACCGTAAGTGCCGTTTTTCTTCAACTGGGTTTCCATTTTCTTCAATGTTTATTGATTTTCTTTAAGGTTAAGGATGGATGGGTTTTGTTTTGTAAAGTTGTGAAAGATGGGAGCTTTTGGTCAATTGCTGTGGTTCTTTTGATTTTCTTGAGTTTCTCAATAGTGTTTTAATTCAGAATTGATTGGATAGCTTTGAATTACAATTGTAAATAGGGTTAGTTGGATAGAAGCAGTATGCATCAATAGGAGCTTTAGCATTCCTTGGTTATGAAAGTTTTTGAATGGATAATTTGCATTTCGTGCTAAATGACACTGCTAAGGGCAACACCTTGTCATCGAGAAAGAAGCCTCGTTTTTAGTTATTACTTGTTATTGCACTCATGCTGTTGGGTATCACCATATTATCGACTTCGTTCTTGCAATGATGTGTTATGTTATTCCAGAGCCCGTCAAGTTGTATTTTTTTTATATTAATGCTGCTCCAATAAACATGCATTTACCTCTTCTTGGCTGTGACGCAATTTGAATTTTGTTACACACATTCAAGGGAGAAAACAACACCTAATGTACTTGGGCTGATAAATCATGTTTTTGCTTTTTGTTGTATCTTATTTATTTAACTTCTAGTGTCTGTTCCGTTATCTGCCAAGTCTACTTGTTTATATTACTGTAGGAAGATGGAGAACTACAAGTTGGACATGGTTAATAAAGATAAATGTCATTGGATTGAAATGATGCTTTTTTTATATTCTCATCTCCTTTGCTTCCTCTATCTCTCTCTCTCTCTCTCTCTCTCTCTCTCTCTCTCTCTCTCTCTCCCCAAATCACTATTGATTGAACTGTTGAAGCAGGTTTTCAGGCCATCACATTCCCCTCAGGAATATGTTCAGATTTACTCTTTGTGCTGGAAATCATAGTTCTCTGGCAAGATCCCCAATAATGTCTATGAAAAAAGGTACGTGACAGTCCTATTTTGCAATGTTGTATTGACTTGTACCTCAAGCTGACTTTATTATGTGGTAGATGTGGTAGGATTACTTAATATGACAGCAAACACTTCCCATTGTTAGATTTATACACAGACATATATTTTCTAGAATTTTCCAGTTGCAGACTTTGGAATCTTGGTCTGCCAGCTGACAGATAACAATGTGAATGAGAGAAATACAGACTTTTTATGTTGTTCTTGGAAATACAGATCCTTTAAAGATTATCACAATTGCCCTAAAATGTATCCTTTAAATTAATTGGAAAAAACCATCTCCTAGCCATTAGATATCTCTTTTTTTTTTTTCCTTTATTTGTAAAGTTGACATTTTTATCTTTATAATTATTCTCATCTCATGTAACCCTTTCAGGAAATACTTTCCTAAGTTCAGAATGGCTGACAAACTGGACTAAATTTCTCAGGTGTGTCGACTGCCACTTTTGAAGGATCATGTGAGGTAGTTTGGACTGTTGAAGCAGATTTGACAGAAGGCCAACTTCTCTACATTAGTGGGGAATCTGTTGCCTTAGGCTGTTGGGAACCAGAGATGGCAATCTTAATGTCTCCTACCAAAAGTGCAAACATATGGAGGGCTGAAGTTAAGGTAGTCTCATCCAACACTGTTAAGTGGCACAATTTTTCTGTTGATAAACTATGAAATGTAAAACAATGTACTAATAATCTCATATCATTGGTTTCTATCATCTGTAATGACATGTTAAATATTTGGCCCTCTATCCAAAATTTTTCTTGTTTGCACTTCTTGCATCTGAGGTTATACATTTTGGATAGAAGGATTACTGAGACTTGTAATTCTTTCTTAGTTCACTTCAGCAAGACAGAATTTTAGAGGAAGTCCATGAGCAGACAAGCTCTGTGGTATCGAGTGAGTCTAAAGTCTTGAGAACTCCTTTCTGTACTAAAGCCTCCTTTTTATTCTATTCCGTCCTTGGCAATAACGAAACTATCCTGAGAAATAATAAAGAATAATGATATCTTTTAGCTATCTCTTGATTGTTTATAAAGGAATTTTGATTCCTAAGGTCTTTCTTTTGATTAAAAGTACCTGGATAATAATTGTTACCTGTTCATACAAAAATGAATCCTGCGCTTTGTGTAATTTATATTCATTGCATATTCCAACTAATCACCTTTTATATTTGACAGATAGCCTGTGGTGTAAATTTCAAGTATAATTATTTCATAAAAGGAGAAATGCCGCCTTTATCTGACATCACTTGGAGACCTGGACCACAATTTTCTTTGTCAGTTCCTCCACCTGAGAAGAAAGAAAGAAAAATTGTGGTGAGAGATTTATGGATGAGATCTAAAACTGAAACATGTCCACCTCATGCATGGGGGTCATGGATTGAGGAAATTCCTATTCCTATAAAACCTTCAGTCTCAGTTCAAGCTAAAGGTAATATCACTGTTTTGGGACTTTTTTATACGCAACTTACTTCTTTAAAGTGTTTCTGAACACTCAAATGCTTCCAGTGCTTTGACAGATGAAGATAAGTTTATGAAACATCGTGAAAGTGATCCAAACAAGTTAGAGCCATTCTTGAATGACCTTACAGCAGATAATGAAATAGAACCAAGTCATGTGGTTGCGATTAGTGATGCAGAGGAAGGATTATATTCTAATACACTTCTTTCCGAAAGAGACCAGCCTCTTGAGGAACCTTGGTTTATTCATTCACCTCTATTCTTTCTCACATATGGCGATGATATGGAGGCCGATTTGTCAAAAATTAACGACACCGTCAAAGATGAGATAACCAGGTTGGAGGCAAATAATCAGCATGACCAAATTACAGCGAAATTCTTGCCTGAAGAAAGCAGTCCTGTAATTTCCAAGAAGGACTCTGTATCTATTGTTATATTGATTAATTCTTCGATATGTACCATGCAAAGGATTGCTGTACTGGAAGATGGAAAATTGGTTGAGTTGTTACTTGAACCAGTTAAAAGCCATGTGCAGTGTGATAGTGTATATTTAGGAGTAGTTTCAAAATTTGTTCCCCATATGGGTGGTGCATTTGTTAATATTGGAAGCTCCCGACATTCTCTTATGGACATAAACCACAACAGGGAACCATTCATATTTCCTCCATTTCGTCAGAGGACAAAGAAACAAACTAAAGGTTTAGTTTCTGGAGCCCCTGGTGAGCATTCAGCTACAAATGAAATTGAACCTTCTTCGGAAGATGTAGAGGATGCAGAAGATGATGACTCTGAGGATGATGAGGTGCAAGTTATGCATCATAACTATGGGGATTTTGATGTTTTAGAAGTTCTTAAGGAGAGTGTGAATGGTAGTGTAGTTGATTATGATGAGCCAAATGCTGGTTTTGAGGATTTGTTAGACGGAGAATACCACCTAAGAGAAGGAAGTCTTCTTGGTTCCTCTTCTTTAGAAATATCTAATGGCTCTTCAGGGTCACATTCCCAAGATGTAGAGGACGTAGAGGATGCTGATGAAAAAAAGTGGGACCATGTCCGAAAGGGCACCAAAATAATTGTGCAAGTTGTGAAAGAAGGATTGGGTACAAAAGGTCCAACATTGACTGCTTACCCAAAATTAAGAAGCAGGTTCTGGGTATTTTCCCCTCCTTTAACTCCTTCTCTGCCTTCTCTCTAAATCACGATTCATTAAGTTGCTTGTTTTTCTCATCTAATTCTCCTGGGTTGCAGATATTACTCACTCGTTGCGACAGAATTGGAGTCTCAAAAAAGATCACTGGTGTTGAGCGTACACGTCTGAGAGTCATAGCAAAAACTTTGCAGCCTCAGGGCTTTGGTCTAACTGTAAGGACTGTTGCTATCGGACATTCATTGGAGGAGCTCCAGAAGGACTTGGCAGGTTTGCTTTCAACTTGGAAAAATATAGTAGAACATGCTAAATCTGCAGCTCTTGCAGCAGATGAAGGTGTAGAAGGGGCAACACCTGTTTTGCTGCATAGAGCAATGGGTCAAACACTCTCAGTTGTCCAGGATTATTTTAATGATAAGGCATGTCTCTGTCATTTATTTTGTCTCCCATTCTTCCATCCACTTATACCTTTCCAATGCTTTATTTTACATCAGAAGCTTATGATAATCTCTCAATAATTACATCCTTTAATATCACCTCTTCTTTTATGTAACTTCAGGTTAACAAAATGGTAGTTGACTCGCCAAGAACATATCATGAGGTATTGCCTTATTGGGACTGATAGGCAAAGGATGCATCTCTTTGTGCATGCAGGCTTGCATATGCTTTTTTGTTTCCATTGATAGTGCATCCTCCCCCTCTTTTTTTTCATGAAATTTTAACCATAGTTAAAGATACTGAATTGGTTTTGTTTATAAAGCAAAAAGTGACTTATATCTTTTTACCCGGTATTTTTTATTCTACATTGTTATTTGTACATCTTACTGTCTCTCTATTAATTATTTGCTATGAAATAGGAAGATATCAACTTTTCTTTTTGATTTCAGGTTACCAACTATCTTCAGGATATAGCTCCTGATCTTTGCGATCGAGTAGAGTTATATGATAAAAGAATTCCCCTTTTTGATGAATTCAACATTGAGGAAGAGATCAATAATATACTTAGCAAAAGGTGAGGATCACTTTTTTTTTTTTTTTTCTGAAAATGCTCGTAATTTTTTTTGTTACATGGAGCTGTGAAGATGGGAATTTAAGATATTTGTATTTCTTATAATAAGGTTCCCTGATCTCCTGATATATTTGATTCCTTGTAACCGGCTGATCTTGCTTTCCTGGGTTAGAGTTACAAAAATAAAGTATTTGGGAGCTAAATAGGAAGGGCTTCAAACTCCAATAGTGGGACCATGACAAGGGTTCAAAAGATGGTTTTCATTCAATCTTTTGGGTCAGGAAGAAGGGATTTAGCTATCTTTAAAGCCACTTACCTGAATTGGGATGCTGAGACCCTAAAACTGACAGTCAGTTATCTGTTCCATTAATTGGCTTCAGAATTATGCAGGCATCTGTTGGACTGTTTGGTCCTTTTCTTGAACTTAAATGTTCCATTGACACCAAAATGTAGACATGAGCTACAATTATAGAAATGATCCGAAAAAGTAAATAAATAAGTTGAATTGTTGTAACTCATTCCAATCAAAGGAGCCAAACTAATCATTGCCAATTTTTTTTCCTCAAATACTTAACAATTATGTAAGGTTGCCTCTGTGTTATTGGGGAAATTTCTTTACCTTCTCTGTTTCCTATCTGATGTTGACTACAACTCTTGCCAACAGGGTTCCACTCCCTAATGGAGGTTCCCTGGTGATTGAACAAACGGAGGCCTTAGTCTCCATTGATGTGAATGGAGGACATGGGATGTTTGGTTATGGAACATCACAGGAAAAAGCCACTTTAGATGTCAACCTTTCAGCTGTAAAACAAGTATGTTAAACACATTATTATTATTATTATTATCACTTTGTATGTACATTCCATGATTATAAGTTGGTGTGTGTCAATGTGAGAGGAAATATGCCACTGGATCATGGATCCTAAAGTTTTTATTGCTTAGGTATTGTTTCTCAATTTCTTTCTACAACTATATTAGGTATTGTTTCTCAATTTCTTTCTACAACTATAAATGTTTTTTTATTGCATGTGAGATGGGTAATCACTTTTTCTCATAGTGGCTGCAGACGGCGGAGCTAAGACCCTTGTGTATGTCAGTAATCAATTCAACTGATATAAACACAATCATGCTACTTAAAATTTATATTAAGATGTAAAAAATTGGACTCGTGTATCCCAATAATTATTTCCCTGGATATAAACCCAATAATGCTACTTAACATTCAAATGAAGAAAGCTTCGACTTCAGTAAGTGTAAAGAGGGAGGAGGTAGAAGGGAGAAAGGTTATGGGTGTGAGAATCTGTTGATAAATACTTCTATTTTGTTTGTTTTTAATCTTCCTTACAGTCTCTTGTTCTTTCTATGTGTTGTTTTCAATAAAATATCCAACCATGCTGACCATTACACTAAAGGATTTGTTAGTTATTAAACAGAAAATGCTACTTTTCAGATTGCAAGGGAGTTACGGCTTAGGGATATTGGTGGCATTATTGTAGTTGATTTCATTGATATGGAAGATGACTGTGAGTCTCTCTCTCTCTCTCTCTCTCTCTCTCTCTCTCTCTTATTGTATGTTTTTCTTATCTATCCGTCTGCCTATTGGAACTGCTCAAGTATCCCTGGAGACGCTTATATTATGTTTTCTATGAATCTTTGTTATCTATGTTTATTAGAACTATCTCAATTTCACATCTGAATGCTATATATTTTGCTTAAACTACTGTCAAAAGTATATTACAGTTCCTATGAATTTTTTCTATTCATCTTGTTAGGGGAATTGCACTAGTAAACCTAGAAGATGCTATATAACTTACTTTCTATCTCTCTCCTTTTTCCTATCATCTCATTATTAAACTACTCAAGTATACCTTGTAAATGCTGCAAGCTTGAATTAGTTAAACAAGTTAGGGTTGAAGTGGTTTTACTTCTAACTTCTAAGGAGTCAGGAAATATCTCACTGATGTTTACTTGGCTTTCTAATTTTCAGCAAATAAGAGACTAGTATATCAAGAAGTTAAGAAAGCAGTTGAGAGAGACCGATCAATGGTGAAAGTCTCTGAATTGTCAAAACATGGTATCATGGAAATAACAAGAAAGAGGGTATGATGGTTCCTGAATTCTTTTTGCTTCTAATTTTTCGGGGAACTTTCGAGTGACAATGGATGATGTATACTAAACCTGGTCCCAATTTATATCTAATTTTGAACTTAAATAAAACCATATTTTCAAATGACAACATTTGCTTTTCAATTTCAACTGAATTATTTCTTTTTAACTTATGAGTAGTGATAATCTTGAAACAGGTTCGGCCTAGCGTGACATTTATGATTAGTGAACCATGCAGTTGCTGCCATGGTACTGGGAGGGTTGAAGCTCTAGAAACCTCCTTCTCAAAAATTGAACAAGAAATTTGTCGATTACTTGTAAGTAATATGTGTTTTCAGAATATAACTTACTTTGCAACTGCATGGTAAGAGTTGGGTGAAGTTCTGTTCTATTTGTGATTATAACAAACTCTTGTTTTTCCTCTTATTTTGACGGGAATGGCAACAAAATAATATTTATACCTTTTTCTTTTTTGGCATCAGGCAGTGATGAAACAGAAGGCAAACCCGGAAAACCCAAAATCTTGGCCAAGATTTGTATTGAGGGTTGACCAACACATGTGTAATTACTTAACTTCAGGGAAAAGGACAAGACTTACAATCTTGAGCAGTTCCCTGAAAGTTTGGATTCTTTTGAAGGTGCACGGTGTTCATTAAGTTATTTTCTTATTTCATTTTTGCATTGTTAACACAATTTAGTATAATATAAATAGTATAATTCCATTGCATTCTTTTTTTTAACTTGGCGTTCAAATATTCAACTGCTGTTTGCTGGGTGCTTGGCATTACTTGCCTGTAAACATGTGTGTTCAGCTTCTCATCATCCCTCAATTTACTTGAACATTGTTTAAGTCTATTTTAGGCGGAAACACATCTAGTTCAGGATCATGCTTCATTTGAACAATTTATCCATCTTCAACCTTGGCATCCTTGGCCACTAAATATAATTTGCGTTTCTGCAAAAATTTGACTGAACATGAGTAATTCTTGTATGTGGACATTGCCTGTAAGTAAAATTATCTGAATGATTTGTTTATATTCTACACTGGTTATATTATTTGCAAAGTTTTCACTGATCGCCAGAATTTTAATACACAGGTTGCTAGAGGTTTCACCCGGGGAGCATTTGAGTTGAAACCATTTACAGATGAGACAGCAGACAAAAATCAGCATCAAGTTGCTATTTCAATGTTACGAAGAGCAGAAGGTGGAACTAGCAAATCTGGCAAGAAACTGACTCTTGTTCCTGTTGAAAGGGCCAAAGCTAATAGGAAATAAGAGAGAGGGATTTGTTTTCTATATATTGGGCTTCCTCCCCTGGGTCTTATATGCAGAAGAGGAAAAGGATCAGGGGAAAAACAAAGAGGTTACCAGGAAGAGGTGGTTTAGCATTAAGTTGTTTTTCCAGGGCTTTCTAGCTGTTCATGCCAGTCAAGGCGGGCTAGGTCCTACTACATTTTTTTTTTCCATTCATTTTGTGTCTAGTTACTTTGCTTGGCAAGCGAATTTTGATCCTGAGGACATCTTTCTTGACAGCAATGTTCAATGGTATCAGTTTGAAAAGGTAGTTAAATTTTCACCCTCAAATGTAATGTAAGGTCCAGGTGCTATGCGTTGTAGTGGTCTACTATCATTTGCTGAGAATTAAAGTTTTATATTTATAAAGTTTAAATCAGTTTAGAGTCCTCTACTAAATCAACCATTTCAATTCTAGTTTAAGAATGCACAAGGTAGAACAGCCCTGGTTCAAATTTTGGTCTTAGATTTAGCTCAAATGGTTCGCCGATCTCCATTAAGAAGTGAATTCCCACAAAGCTAAAATTTAATTTTCGGCACTTGTAATTCTTATTCTTTTATCTCCTAAACTTCGATTTTTTTTTTGTCAAAAAGAAAAAAGCTCAACCACCAGATATGATCATGATCAACTTACGATTCAAGAAATGGCATGCTAAAGCATTCCTTTATAGCAATTAGCAAAGTTGAATTGCTATTTTCCTTTCAATCTTTAATACAAGCTCTTTTCTTCTTTTAGATCTTACATCTTGATTCTGATTGACAAACTAACCACGCCAGGCTTAATTGGCAAAAGCATAATATATCCACAGATCAATGTCTAGGGACTTTGACAAAGCAAAGACCAATTTGAAAAAGGCATTTTAAAAGGCAAATTCCATCACAAGACAACAATATAGCACGGAAGATCAAAATAGTTGACAATCAAGTTCAACTTAGTCTAGAGCCTCAAAATGATGCCAAGACATGAAACATTGATAGTCAATATTCTATAAGTACAAAATTCAAGAAATACCACTCAACGACACAACTACCAGGTAAGGCATAATAAAGTTTATTGAAGGTAACAAAGACAATAGCTAAAAATACACGTGGATGTACCCAATTGTCGCAACCAGGTCTCAGACCTCATATTTGGGGATTAACCGGTGGCAGTATTGCAGGTGTTAACACTGTCTTTGCAATCGTTAGTCAGATCATTGAAAGTTTCAACTCTCAATCTGCTTCTTCCCTCTAAAGAGAACTTCTGTATCAACAGAAACCCTCATGTAGCCGTCAAATTCAACTGGAACTCCATTGTTAAGCTTTGTTGTCTCTGAATACCACTCACTATTCTCATCCCAAAGATCCTTATAGTCATTAAGAAAATGAATGGAATATTTGTCTTTCAAAGGTTCAAAGAAAGATGTGTCAGTTTCATTCGTTGCAATATACACATTCCTCCCATCTTCAATCTTATCCTGCAAGGCTGAGATAAGGGCATCAAGTGACATATCTTGCGCAAGATTAGGCCAGACGTCCCTGTTCCTCGCCTTCTCCCCTCTCACAATGTGAACAGAGTCATAATCCCAGTTCAACCTTGAAGCAATTGCTGACACTATATCCATCAACCTTCTTGATTTCCATATCTGATGCCATGGCCTTTGAACAACAGATTCTGTCTCTCCTTCACAAACCCTGTACCAGTAATTATCTGGCTCCACAGATCCAAACTTTCTCATAATCAACGAATCCTTCACCTCAGAAAGCTTCATTGGCGTCACCCTAAAATCCTCAACAAGATAAAGACTCAATCGATCTTTTCTTTGCCATTTGTTCCAATCTAGCCAAAACTGCCCCTGATCCAACACTGATGCTGCCTCCTTCAGATGCTCAAAATCAAAGTAAAGCCTAAAGTCCTTCCCTTCCTCCTCCTGATTTGACGAAGTGTAAATTGAAGACAAACAAAGTGTCAAATCCATAACCAGCGTTCGATTCAAGTACTGCGCTTCACCCAATGCACACAAGAAACTCCACAAATAATGGTTCATGCTCTTGCACCTATCTCCACCACCCACATAAATCAAGTACTTCCCATTTCTAAAAGCATTTTCAGACTCAACCACTGGAAGTGAATCGTTTACTGTTTCGCCAACAACAGGCAAAGACACACCACCTTGCTCCTGCCTCCTAGACGTCTTCTCAAATCCAGGCTTTTGATTCTTATTCTTCTTCTTCCTCGCATTCACACCTGAATGATAATCCCCAATGCTTACCACGCTAAGTGTACAGTTCTCTGATCTATTAATCACAAACCGCCTATAATCCTTATAAAAAGCAGCTGTCTTCCCTTCCTTAGGCCTAAACCGCCATGCCATATCACAAGTATTCTCCTCAGGGCCAGAAGCAGGCTTCCCGAACCGATAAAAATGTATATCCTTAAAATGCTCAATTGCCACTTTCATCATCAAATGGAACACTTCCGGGTCCTTACAATCCAGTGGTCCTTTCGAATCACCCTCACATCCAGTTGAACTAGTTTCATCCGTACTTGCCTCCTTGAGTTCTACTACATCCGTCACATTGATAAAAGTGGCAAATGCAGTCTGATTGGCAGCCATAAAATCCTCTCCGGTTCTAACAACGGTGCTATCCGATTTAAATGTGGCATTTGATGTGGAAGTGAGGAAAGTTGTGATCTTTGTTGAAGGGCGGAAAAGAGGGTCCTCTGGCTCATAAGTAGCAGCTATAATAGTGAAAACTAGGACACCTATTACAAAGATAGTGAAACAAAGATTGCCAATCATATGTAAAGCATTTTGTCCCAGATTCTCTGGCCTAAAGCTTCCACTTCTATATAACCCAGAACGGCCCAACATTCTTTTACGAACTAAAAACCCTTACAATGAATTAAATCTATTTATTAAGGCCAAAACAAAAGTACCCAGATTAATACAATGCAAGAATTCAGTAAAAAGATTAAGCCTTTACAGATCTGGGTTCATAGATCTTGAAACTAAAAATGTGCCAAGTAATTTGGGAAGTTAATTTACCTTTTCTAAAATGATGTAAAGCAAAGAGAAAAACAGTGAAGAAATCGAAAACCCAAATTTCCACTCTCTCTCTCTCTCTCAAGAGTGAATGTGAGAGAGTATGAGCTGTGGTTTAGTAAGATTTTCTCTCAATTTCAGTCACTATTTCCTTCTCTAGTTTTCTTCGCCTTAGTCGAAAGAGTAGATGGGTGGGTGAATCATTAAACCACAACGAAGTGTGATAGCGCGAACGTAGTGCGTAATGCGCACCTTGATTTTGATGGTTACACGTGGATTATAGGGTTAGACGGACGGATAAGATTTGTGGCGGGTAACGCAGTTTGTTGGTTTGTATTGTACTTATTTTCTCTTGGGTTATGAATTAAAGAAGGCGACTGCTCTGCATTAACGCTCGAAACAAACACACCGACAAAACCAAACATATAATTTGGGTCAACATTTATTCTTGGAAAAGCACTATATATTTTGATAAATCAATTTATCTTGCTTTTTTAAATTAAAATTTTTTTAATTTATAATTAATTAAGCATTCTAATAGTTTTTAAAAAGTTCTATATTGGATAAAATTATCCCAAATCTACTTTACAAGCAAAGACATAGGAAAAGATTATAGTGAGAGATGGATACTTTGATATGAAGGAAAAGGAGAGGGTGGTGTAGAGATAGTGGCAGGAAATTGGTGGATAAAAAAAAATGTTAAAAGAAGTGCTTTCCTTTGCTTGCTTGGGAGGAAAGTTCAATTGGGGGTTTCTATATGTGATAAATATTTTTCCTTTTCTTATCCCTATCAAATTTGTAAATAAAGTCTTTATGATGTCAATACTGTTATATAAGATATAAAGGAAAAGTATCAAAATTTAAAGTTTAATTGAGCTAATATTTTAAAATTTTAAAATTTATTAATTAAAACCCTTTCTTTTATTTCTGAATTATAACTTCTTTTGTAAAATTCTTTCTAAAATTTAGTATGATGAAAAACCTAATGTAACTAAAATTGAAACTGGCAGCATGTTTGGGATGGAGTTGAACATATGAGAATGGAGTGAAAGGAGTATTTATTCCATTCTTTTTCCTTCTTCATTCTCATTTCCTTCATTACATATCAATGAAATTTGTTGATTTTGCCTGTCCTACTTTTTCCCTCGTACCAAACATAATTCGGGTTGAATTGTCGGTTACCAACATCATCAGCCCATCTTCCTAAAGACACCGACTTTAATATTTTTTACGAGAAAGAGAAAATCCTTTTTCTGTTTTCCTGATTTTAACTTTCCGAAGGCTGCTTTTTCTCTTGTCATTTGTCAATTAAAATTGGTTAGTTGATATTTGTCCATTGTCTCTATCACCATCAACGTCTAAATCAACAGCTTTTTTTTTTCTCATTTTTGACAGTGGATTTTAATTTTTCAGTAACTCTCTGCCATTATAGGATTAGACGTGGAAGTTGCTTTTCCCTAGTAGCTTTTCAAAGTCACAATGTTGGAAGGTTTTCTTTATGTCAAAACTGTAATCCAACTGGGGCAGACTGATTTTTGTTGCCACTTGCTTTGCTTTTTGGATCAACCCTTTGGAGAGCTTTAAGTTTTTACCCCCCAGCCTTTTCAATTGTAAGTGTTACGAATAGGGAAGAGAGGACCCCAGATTTTCTGGTATTTGTGATCCGCATGTGGGTGGAGGATATAATCATGTCCCCTGACAGGAACATCACTTACAACATTTGGCTGCAAAAGTCTTAAGATCCTATATCTCAACAAATGGTCAATCAACACACCAAATTCTGTGTTGGGGCTGCTCATCTGATCTCCTTCTGGGAGCATTGCGACCCACTAAAATCGATACGATCCGTTTGCCAACACAAGTTGAGCACTGTTGAATGTCGTAGTTGAATCTGAGGGTTTAAATTACTTCCTTTTCAGCAATGGAAATATACTAATATCTTAGATTCAAATATTCATCAAGAACATCAAGGGATTCCCATTAACCTAACCGAATAACCTATCCATTGAACCAAAGAAGATAACCAAGATACCAACAAGGGATTGCCTCAATAGTTAGGGTTGTTAAACCTTGACATTAGTGGTCTTGGGTTTGAACCACCATGAACTTATGTTGGTGATAATTTTTTAATGCTGAAACTCATGCTAGATACAACACATCTTGCTCTAACCTGAAAAGCTGAGCAACATATCTTCCCAAATTTTGCATACCACTCTCTTGCAGCACTAATAACGACTGATATGGGGTCTACAGGAGAAAAGAGTGAAATAAGTTTATAATCAGGGGAAAATGAAGAGTAGTCTTTCAGGAACATGGAAGATTTAGACAACTTTTGTCAAAGATCACAACCTTAATTCAGTGCAGCCTCTCTTATGATTTCATCAGTGGAAATGTACACGTATTATACAGAGAAGTTTTTTATATATACACGAGGACAACACAGCCTTGAGGTAGTAAATAGCACCTCCAAAAGGTAAAAACTCGTAGTGAAACTCAATCCATGATATTTTACTCTATTGATACCACTCTCTTGGATGGTGATCTAGAATGGATATAAATTTTAACTGGTGTACTTGCTTCCTGGGCAGAAAGCATGCATCACGCAGATGGAACTTTGGCAGGTGTGCAAGATGCAGCCCTATGTTGGATGCGGTTCATGCTGAGTTCCATACTTCTTTGAACCATATCTTCCAGTAACCTCTTGGCAGTTTCCGCGGCTTTATCTGCTCCGTCTACACGGGTTGCAATATCATACACAATTTTTTCCAGGACTGAGGAAGCCAATTTCTTTTCCTGAGTATCTCTGAGCAAATCCAAGAGAGTACGAGCTCTTTCTTGAGCTATACTTGTGCCCTCTACGGTCAGTCGCAGAAGCCCCGGGATTGCACCTTCGTTAAGAATAAGTTCCCTATATTTTTCTCGACAGCTCTGGCACAAAGAAAGCAAAGCTCCAACAGCATGCTGCATGCTGAAAAGAGAGCCATCTTCAACAGTCTCTACCAAGGTTAAAATCCCACCATCTGAATTGGTGATTGCAGCTCGCCCTTCTTCAGATTTAGAAAGGATTTCGAGTAGGGCTGTTGCTTTTTCAGCAAACTTGGAATATTTCTTGCATTCTTTGAGGAGGTTGATAAGTGGAGAAACTGCTTTGCCATCAAGAATAGGAATCGAATTCTCTTTGCAGGTCGATAGGTTGTGTAAGGCAGTGACAGCATCAACTTTTCCTTGAACACTTCCAGAGCTAAGGATTTGAACCAGAAGGGGTGCAGCTCCAGAGGCAGCAATTGTGGGCTTGTTAGGTGCAGCAGCTGATAGTGTTAATATTGCAGCTGTGGCTAATTCTCTCAAAGCACTGTCTTGCAATTTGAGAAGCTCTACAAGAGGAGGGACAGCCCCTGCTGTCACTATAATGACCTTGTTTCTGATAACAAAAAGTGACAACGACAAACAGATAAGTTGTCAACATCGGAATCATACATTAACAATTCAATTAACCAATGAAAGAAGAGGATAGTGGCAAGAGTAAAAAGTACTGAGTTGCATAACAACTACATGAAAGAAAATGATTCAAGTAAGAAACCCAGGAAATTAGCATCATTATAAATGACATATCTCATGGTTATGAACCATCCATCCATCACATAAATGAATTAAATTTCTTGGACTAGACAGATTCATTAACATGGGGAAAGAAAATTGAAATTGTGTTGCTGAAACTAGAATGACTATCTCACATCTAGTTGAGCTTTTGCAGACTATTAACTAGGAATATAGCGTTCAGAGAGAACAGTTAACAGCTAGGGCATGTATTTATGCTAAAGTTAAGCATCAGAACACAGAGATTCAAATTGCATCAAGAAACCACCTTTCCAAAAGCTTCTCACCCAAAATATCCATTTTGACATTAGAATCAAAACAATCAGATTAAAAAGAGCTAAACTCCACCTGAATATTTCCACTCAATTAACTATTTTGTTTGGACAAAGACCAAATAGAGATGCAATAAACTCAAACAAAAACCAACCAAGCTCATAATGGAACCAAAAACAATCATCAAAACAACACCCCATACTCCAATATTCTCAACATTTCACACCCAAATACAAGGAAGAAAAAGAAAATAGAAAAGTTTCCCACCTTGATAGAAAACTAAGTGAGTTTATTGACTAGATAATTTACTCAAAGAACTAAATAATCCAAGCCTATATCTTGTCATTAACTTTTATCCTTTTTCCCTCGAATCATTTCTCCCCTAGTTTTCCAGCAACCAAACAAACAATGAAAATAACTCAACCAATTTCTTGAAAAAGCAAAAATCCATAAAAAAACTGAAACTTTAAAATAAACCCAAACATGGATCTATGCTCAGAAAACATTAAAAAAAAAAGAAGGAAAAATTAGAGACCTTTCATTTCTAACAGCAAGGTTGAGAAGAGCAAGAAGAGAAGCTTCACGTGCATCAAGATTAGGGGACAAGAGCATAAGGACAAGAGGCTCAATAACACCAGCAGCAGCAAACTTTGAACGTGTCTTAACAGATGATTTTCTAACAACTTTTCTTATATCTCTAGCAGCTTCAATCTTGGCCTGAAGATCTCCATTTATCAGCTTCTCAGAAAGCTCGAGTATAACGGTCTGTTTCTGGTGGTTCCAAGTCTCTTCTTCTTGGTCTTTGCCGGCGCTGGTCGTTGGGGTTGCTGGTGGTGTCTCCTCCTCCTCCTGGTCATGACCCATTTCTTCTTTTTGAGTTCTTTCTCAAAGCTGTAAAGCTGCAGCTGCTGTTCTTAATAGAGTGTTTCCTGTCAGTGGTTTTCTGCCCTTTTATCTTTGGATTGCGTTTTTGGGTCTCTGTCCTAAAACCCAACAAAGACAAAAGCAAAACTCCAAAACCAAAAATCGAAACATAAAACCAGAAGTATATACTACTAATTACATATTTGTATGTTTTTTTGTTTTTGTTTTTCTGTCTTTTTCATAATTAGTTAATTACTTAACTTGGGAGAAAGAGTTTGAAAGTTAGGAGAAGAGATTTGATTGTTGTTTTCTTTAAGGAAAGAAAGAGGAAAAAGAAATAAACTCGCCTTTTTTCCTTTTTTTTTTTCTAATTATGATAAAATAGAAACTACTGTATTTTTCTACCCGATGGTGAATTGAACAAAAAATTAAAATTAAATTATTTTCAACAAAAATTTTATGACTGATTACAATCCTTTTTCTTGCCTTGTGGTTTCTTTTTTGTTATTTGTCATTTACTAATCATTCCCTTTGAGTTCAATAATTATCCTATCCCATAGTGAAAGTTAGGGTTTCAGCTAATTTTTTTATCTGAAATACTATTAGGTTACATTCAAATTTTAATTTAATTAATTTATTATTTATATAATTATTTTTAAGATATCATATTCAATAGAATTGAGATTTAAATTTTAATATTAATAATTTTTTTCTTCATTTTTAAATTACAATTTCATTTGTATCTAAAAAAAATATTTCTGTTTAACACAAGAAAAAAACTTTATTTAAAAAGATATATATATATATATATATAACTATAAAGATATAGAAATTGAAATGAAGTAATAATAATATTTTAATTGAACAAGGCATCATGTGCTGTTTACAATACATCGAAGAACAAAAGTAGCTTATGCTGCTAAACACATTGAAACAAGGTTGCCTTGGTTAGATTAATCGGCAAACTGAAATTTTAAAATCAGATGGAATTTTCATGTAAACTTAGGTGAGATATTATTATTATTATTATTAGAATAATCTTCAACTTTTCTGAATGAATTAAAGAGAAACGTCATATCATTCGCCAGGCCCATGACTTTCACTAATTGCTGTAAGACTTGGCTGCCACAAAACACCATTTCTCGACTTCCTTTTTCCCCGGGTTTGAAGTTTGGATTTCTCCTTGGAACTCTCTGCAATGCCTTCATCCTTGCTCTTTTCAGTGGCAGGCAAACCAGGCTTTTGCTTGGCATCAATGCCTACAAATCTGACATGTTTCTTTGTTCCATTTTTCTTTCTGCTAGCACTAAACGAGCCACTTACCTCACTCGAATCACTAACTTCATTGCCTCGGAGAAAGGACTTGCCTGATAAATTATCCTTAGAGACATCAATGGAATTAGACTGTGATACAAAATAGTTTACAGAAACTTCTCCATTGGGTTTTTTGATCAGCGCCAAAGCTTTCTTACAGTACGGCGTGGGACAACATAGACAACATAGAATTTTTCACCTGGGGTGAGGATCTCATCTGACCATTGAATCCCATGGCCTCCTGAAAACCTTCTGGCCTAGCCAATACGGAAGAGGGATACTTCTTCATGATATTAACTGCTGGTATTGCCATGTAGTAGTGCTCGACAATCCCATCAGCCTGGACAATCTTCAGAGCTGAGGTCTCCACTGGCTCCTGTTGGGGTCAACCCACTGGTTTAGTCCGACCACGGCTAGAGAAAGGGGCAAGTCTATGGACATTAAGGAACTTGTTGAGCACGCCAGCCACAATAGCAGTTATAATAATGTAATTTCTGCTAGAGTATAGCTTGTACAGAAACACTTGCACTTCCTTAAATCTCTTAAAACAATGACAAGTACAAGAATACAAATTTCATTTCTTTAAGTTTAATGGGGGATTCTAACAATGGAAAGATAACAACCATGCATAATCACCATGAAGAGTCCATGGCCAGCTATTTTCTTGTTTTTAGCTTGCATCATCGAGACATTTAAAGATGCTTGAGATATCCTACCAGCTTACTCTTAAAAAGATAACATCAATCTGCTTTGTAGCATCATCCGATACTAGATTAAAAATATATCCATTATCAATGTTTATATATTGCGAATGGTTGATGTTTCAAATATTACTATCAATAAAATACAAAGGGGAAATTTCCATAACAAAAAGAAGAGGGCACAAATAACTAATAATATAATCACTAGGCACAAATAAGAGAAACTTGTGAGTCAATAGTTAGAGCTTAGGAGTGTATACAAGTGAAGCTTGAGATTAAACAACAATTCCCTCCCACAGATAAACAGCAAGGAAATTGCAGAAAAGACCACCTTTTTGACAACAAATACTTTTGGAATTGCACAAGCCAAGAAAACAGATAAATCAACTTGCATATGCCTTTCACTCAGAGCTTATAACTAAAGAAAAGAAGCATATAGGACAAACTAGTAAAGGTCTCAAGTGAAACAATGAAAATGTTGGCCTTTGCTTATACCAATTACAACAGTTCAGTACATCCCTTTCGTGCTATCAAAATTCACTTTACAGGCAAGACAGAGGAAAGATAAGAAAGGAATGGAAAGAATTCTCCACCAACCTAATCTTACCTTCCAAAACCCCCAAAACCTCAAATAAAGGGAAAAAAGAATGGAAAAGATTATCACCACTCAATAGTAAATTCTAAGAGTTCAAAAACTTGACAAGGAAAAATGAGGGGCAAAAGCTTTAAACTATGAAAAGGAAAATTGGTAACACCATATAGCAAGAGACCTGCACATGCCTACCTTCACTAACTTTTAACAGTCGATATCAGTTACAGGCGAGCCGGATCTTTTATGCCCTCAACCCAAGTAAACAGAGGATACTATTGGTAAATTTTTTCCCGGCCTCCTCAAACAGATTTACATTCTCAACTCTGGCCATTGATGTATCTTATTGATGCTCCCCTCCATTCAAACCTGTTGGAGTTCCCAAAAATACCCCAATATTGGACATTGAATATCTTGTTTCGATGGTTTACAAAAAAGAACAAATCTATCCCTGTTTCAGTAGTTACTGGGCCAGTTCATCTGTGCATGTTGAGGCTGCTGATAAACACTGGCAGCAGGTCCCCCCATATCAACAGCTCCAGCCATAGTCTGAGCCTGTTGTAGAAGAGGATGAACAGCTGCTGCTGTTACTGCTTGTGGATGATAGATACCAGCAAAAGAGCCAGGAGCAACCTGTGTTGGAGCAAAAGTTACATTCTGACCCTGAGGGTGAAGGTTATAGAACGAACTTGCTGGCAGGCTGGATATGTCTCTACCAGGAGGAGCAATCCATACAGCTGAACCTTCACTCTGCAAGAAAGTAAATATGTAAAACAATCATCCTAGAAGGAAAAGAAAATTAATAAAAAAGAAGACACCTAACAAACTAGTCAAGACTGGTAAATGCTCGACAACATTCTTTCCGAAACCTATGTTTATTCATATCAGAACAGAGAATGCTTAAAGAAGAAAGAAGCAGGCAACTGTATTGTGTAGAACCATAACAAACAATCAAATCAAATGATGAGAACATGATCACCATCGTAAGGCATTCAATTAAAATGAATTCAGTGCATCAATGTGGCATTGTCTTTGGTCAAAAAAGGATAGGGATTTATCTTGATTATGAAGCAGAAACTAAGTATCCACTTCTCCACAGAGATCTCCTATGCTTGAACAAACAGAAAAACAAGAAGTCCATTGACATTTGCAGGCTTCTCAAAACTCAAATGCAAGGAGATGGAAAAAGGGAAGAAAAGTCAATCAATGACATCGGCACAATTCAAACACCAACGACATTTCCCCATTGCAAAGAACAACTGGCCCCTAAAAATCCCAACACTAAAATAAAAGCCATCCTCTGTCTGCGTTGACAAACACTTATACAAAAGCTAGTTTGCCAGTAAATACTTGCAGAATATAAAAGATAGCCTTTTAAGATACATATAACCATTACTAGGGAAAAGAAACTAGATTATATTAACAAAAAATAAAAATAAACACAACAAGGAATTGAGACAGTAACCTACAAGCCAAGATCAAAGCTACTGTCTTACATTCTTGTCTTATTTTATAAATTTAGTCCATACTCTAAGGCTAGTTTGCCAGTATATCCTATAATATAAAGATTGTGTTTCAAGATACATGTAATCATTAGATTCATTACTGTGAGAAAACACTTATTTACAGCTGGTTGTAATATTGTAATCTGTATATTTATATTTGTATCTATAGAATTAAGTATTTGTATCCCTAAAATTAGGACAGACAATCCCTCAATTATAGGATTAGTTTTTTAGGAAGATTTAGTTTCCTAGATTAACCCCTAATTAGTTGTATATAAACCTAAGATTCTTGTATAATTCTTAATAAGCAGTTTTCCAACATACATTCAGTTTCCACACTGATTTATTTCTTAATTTTTTCACATGGTATCAGAACTTTAGGCTCTTCTTGGGAAGCAAAATTTTCAGCCTTCATTGCTGACTTTTCTAGGCCTTCATTGCCGAATCCTGTTTAGGCCTTCATTGCCGAACCATTTCAAAGAAAGATATCACTACCACCCAATTTGAAGAAATGTTAACTGGGAAAATCACTGGAGTACTACAGATGTCTCAGAAACAAGGAGAGTTCGACAGGGAAGAGATTGAAAAGCTGAGAAACTTATTGAAAATCCTTGAAAAGCCTATTGTGGTATGTTCTTTGGGTAAGGTTTCTAGTTCAAGTAAAGCTTCCGGTTCTCATGGATTAAATGTCTCGGCTAAGCCTATTACAAGTTCTTGAGTCATTGACTCAGGAGCCACAGACCATATGACACATCCTCATAAAAGTTTAGTACATATAACCTGTGTCCTAGTAATAAGAAAATTGTTGTTGCAGATGGTTCACTTACTACAGTGGCAGGATTAGGAGATGTTCAAGTTAATCCCTCGTTTGTTCTAAAAAATATTCTTCATGTTCCTGGATTGTCTACTAATCTGATATCTATACAAAAACTTACCAGAGATATGAATTGCAAAGTAACTTTTTATCCCTCTTATTGTGAATTTCAAGACCAGAGTTCGGGGAAGATGATTGGACTTGCTAAGGAGAAGGATGGACTATACTATCTTGAGACATTAAATAACACAAGTAGTATCAAGAATAGTTTACCTTTGTCATTTCTTTCTGAAAAATCTTCCAATAAAGACAAAATCTGGCTTTATCATTTTCATCTTGGACATCCTTCTTTTGGAACCTTGAGAAACATGTTTCCTTCTTTGTTCAAAGGATTAAATGTCGAAGATTTTTATTGTGATGTTTGCGAACTTGCAAAGCATAGACGTGTGTCTTTTCCAATCAGTAACAAAAGAAGTTCTACACCCTTTTACTTGATTCATAGTGACATTTGGGATCCCTCTACAATTCCTAATATTTCTGGTGCGAGATGGTTTGTTTCATTCATAGATGATTGTACCAGGGTCTCTTGGGTTTTTTTACTTAAATCCAAATCAGATGTGAATAATGTGTTTTTAAGCTTCCAAAACATGATCCAAAATCAATTTGGAGTGAGAATTAAGAGATTTAGGTCTGATAATGCAAGAGACTACTTCAACCAGAATCTATCTACCTATTTCCAAAAAGAGGGGATTATCCATGAGCCATCTTGTGTTAATACTCCACAGCAGAATGGAGTGGCAGAGAGGAAAAATAGTCATTTACTAGCCACAACCCGAGCCTTTCTTTTTCAAGCAAATATACCTAAATTTTACTGGGGGGAAGCTGTTCTCACTGCCACACATATTATAAATAGGTTACCTTCAAGGGTTTTGGGATTTAAAACTCCTATGGAACTACTCTCACAATTTTATCCCGACCTCAATACCATAAACAATCTCACACCTAGGATATTTGGTTGTACATCATTTGTTCATGTTCACAGTCATAACAGGAAAAAGTTGGATCCAAGAGCGATTAAGTGTATTTTTGTGGGGTATTCTTCAACTCAAAAAGGATATAAGTGCTATCATCCTCTTACCAAAAAATTTATGTGTCTGCAGATGTCACTTTTGAAGAAAATAAACCATTTTTTACTCAACCTTATCTTCAGGGGGAGACTTCATTCATGGAAGATAAAGATAAAGACTTCTTTTTGCTTGATTTGCCCCTTTCTTCAACATTTACACCCATTAATTCTTTTGAGTCGAAACCTGTTTCTGCTGAGCCCAAGTCAAACACTGAATTTGAGTCTGAACCCATTCCAAATACGGAATATGTGACAAAGGATAATATTGTTCTTGATTCTATGAAGGAATTACAGGTGTACTCAAGAAGGAAAGTTGCAGATCCTGAACCAGTGCCAGTCCAAAAACCTGATCCTAACTCTGGAAATGAGGTAACTACAATTTTTGACTCTGTTTCTCAAAATGAGCATGAATTTCCTAAAACTATAACTAGTGATTATGATCTACCTATTGCCATTAGGAAAGGAACCAGAGAATGTACCAAGCATCCACTATACCCAATCTTTAATTTTGTGTCATTTGAAAAATTCTCACCATCCCACAAAAATTTTCTTGTGAGCCTAAACACTATTTCTGTTCCAACAACATTATCCAAGGCATTATCCAGTGAAAAATGAAGGCCTTAGAGAAAAATCAGACATGGGAACTGGTAGAGTTGTTTAAAGGAAAAAATCCAGTGGGGTGTAAATGGATTTTCACTGTAAAATACAAGGCAGATGGTACTGTTGAAAGGTATAAAGCCAGGTTAGTGGCTAAGGGCTACACTCAAACCTATGGAATGGATTACCAGGAAACCTTTGCTCCCGTTGCCAAGATGAATACAGTTAGGATTTTGTTATCAATGGCTGCAAATTACAATTGGCAACTTCAACAATTTGATGTAAATAATGCTTTTCTACATGGTGATTTGGAAGAAGAAATATATATGAAGGTTCCACCGGGATTTGGAGGTCATCTAGAAGCAAACAAAGTATGCAGGCTGAAAAAGCTTTATATGGCCTTAAACAGTCTCCTAGAGCTTGATTCGGGAGATTTGCCAAAGTGATGCTAGCAATGGGATATAAACAGAGTCAAAGAGATCACACATTGTTTATCAAGAACTCTGATTCAGGGAGAGTCACAGTTCTATTAGTGTATGTTGATGATATAATTGTAACTGGAGATGATGAAAAAGAGAGAGAATCTCTAAAACAGTGTTTGGCTAGAGAATTTGAGATAAAAGAGCTAGGGAGATTGAAGTACTTCCTAGGAATTGAAGTAGCTCACTCACGGCATGGTATTTTCATCTCACAACAGAAATATGTGATAGATCTTTTGAAGGAAACTGGGAAGCTTGCATGTAAACCTGCAAATACCCCTATAGATCCTAATCATAAAATTGGAGAAGCTAATGAAGATACTGCTGTAAATAGAGAGATGTACCAAAGATTAGTTGGAAGACTCATTTATCTCTCACATACTAGACCTAATATAGCATATGCTGTGAGTGTGATAAAGAAGTGCACCTACAGGCTGTCTACCGTATATTGCACTATTTGAAGGTCAATCCTGGGAGAGGTATCTTATTCAAAAGAAATTCGGGGTTAGTTCTAGAAGCATATATAGATGCTGATTATGCAAGTTCAATAACTTATAGAAGATCCACCTCAGGCTACTGCACTTTCTTAGGTGGTAATCTTGTGACTTGGAGTGGTAAAAAACAGAATGTGGTGGCAAGAACAAGTGCTGAAGCAGAGTTCAGAGCAATGGCTCAAGGAATTTGTGAACTACTATGGTTAAAGATTATCCTAGAAGACTTGAAGATCAAGTGGGATGGACCAATGAGACTCTACTGTGATAACAAGTCTGCAATAAGCATTGCACACAATCCTGTGCAACATGACAGAACAAAACACATTGAAGTAGACCGGCATTTCATAAAGGAGAAACTAGATAGTGGGTTAATTTGTACACCTTATGTATCAACCAAGGGTCAACTTGCAGATGTGTTGACTAAAGGTCTCAGCAGTACAACATTTCAAGAAATTATTTCCAAGCTGGGAATGGAAAACACCTATTCATCAACTTGAGGGAGAGTGTGGGAAAACACTTATTTACAACTGGTTGTAATCTTGTAATCTGTATATTTATATTTGTATCTCTAGAATTAAGTATTTGTATCCCTAAAATTAGGATAGACAATCCCTCAATTATAGGATTAGTTTTTTAGGAAGATTTAATTTCCTAGTTTAACCCCTAATTAGTTGTATATAAACCTAAGATTCTTGTACAATTCTTAATAAGCAGTTTTCCAACATACATTCAGTTTCCACACTGATTTATTTCTTAGTTTTTCCACAATTACTAATAAAAGTAAACTAGAAGAAATTGGGACACCATCAAAATTGCTGTTTCATACATTCTCATCTTATGTCATAAACACCTCTGTAAGAAATAAAAAGATAAATCAAATCATAGCAAGAGATATAAATGGGAATATGTTGTAACAACCTGCTGCCCAGTGATGTAGACATTGCTTTCCTTGAACTGAGATGCACCGAGATCCTCATTTGTGGTTGAGTTCCCAGTTGTCGCAGCAGAACTTAGATTATAACCAGCTGGGGAGGAGCCATATGGCCCATAACCACTTGGCATTCCAATATGAGTAGAAGTCGCTGTATTAGTTCCAGGTTTAAATTGAGGAAGTGGAAATTTGACTCCTGTAGTAGGCGCTGCTGGTGCTGAAGGATAAACAGTACCAGCTTGTGGTTGTTGAGGAAACACTCCATTGTTTATAAATTGGTGGATTGCAGGAGAAGGAACATAGAAAGGAGAGTAAAAGGGTGCATATTGAATGTAGTTTGGAGGATAATGCGGTAAATGCACCCCAGCCGCTGAGCGGTAGACGGGGACTGGTTGCTGGGTCACAGCTATTGAACTTTGCATCAGCCCAGCAGCTTGAGTCACTAGCGGAGTTGGACTTGCTGTAGTCAGTACCAAAGAGTTTCCACCCTGCCAACAGATGCAAATCAGCTCCAACTTCCAACGGTATAAAGGGAAAAGAATATTTACCCCTTGAGGTTTGGTAGAAAATACACATCCCCTTTAGTTTAAAAAACACCCTCTTACATCCTTAAGATTTGGTAAAAAAAATACACAAACCCCCCTGAGATGTAATTTACCAAGTTAATTTTAAATGAAAAGAAAAATGTACCCTTTATTAATTAATATTTATTAATCATTTATATCTTTATTTAATTTAGTTTTTTTTTCCTTTTCAGGCTTTCTTTTACTTAAGACTTTTTTTTAACTGTAAAATAATGAGAATTTAATTAATTTTAAAATTATCTTTAATTACTATCAAATTAAATTTTAATTAAGTTATAGTCTAATTCTACTATCTGTTAAATATTTTAAACTTATCTTTAATTCAATTATATATCAACTTTGAGATGAATTTATTAAATTATCCTTATTTAAATAAGTTAATTACTATTATAAAACAAATTTAGTGATAAAAAAATTGACTAAAACAAACGAAATTTTAAAAAAAAGGAAAAAAATAAAGGAGAAGAAAAAAATAAAGGAAAAAGCATATTTAACCCCTTGAGGTTTGATAACCCTTTTAGTTAAAAAACACCCTCTTACCCCTAAAGGTTTCGTAAAATATACACTAACCCCACTGAGATATAATTTTCTAAGTTAATTTTAAATGAAAAGGAAAATATACCGTTTATTAATGATTAATTATTAATCATTTATTTCTCTATTAATTTTTTTTCATTCTTTCTTTTACTCAAGAATTTTTAACTACAAAATAATGATAATTTAATTAGTTTTAAAACTATATTTAATTTCTATCAAATTATATTCTAATTCTAGTAGATGTAAATGTTTTAAATTTATCTTTAATTCAATTATATATTTACTTTGAAATGAATTTATTAAATTATCCTTATTTAAATAAATTAATTAACATTACTTAAAAAAAGTTTTAGTGATAAAGAAATTTATTAAAATAAATGAGGGAAAGAAACAAGAAGAAAAAAATAAATTAAAATATATGCCCTATGTATGTGATAAGAGTTTGGATGTGTCAAGTGGAAAAGGCAGCTCCAAATTCCATAAAAGCACGTAATGCCACAAAGCAAGATGAAGTATGTAAGTAATCAACTGCCTTGTCTGACAATCATGTCTTGACACCAATAATAGGTTTCACTAAGTCCTACTTCAACTCTCCCAAGGGAGTTCCAAAAAATAAACATGTAGCAGGTTATTGTTGTTCTAGGCAAACTATCTACCTTCTCAATAACAAACACCTAAACATGGATTCTTATTTTTCTGCTAGCCAAGTAGGAGAGCACAGATTCATCCATCTAGAATGTTCACAGGTTGAGTAACCATATACTTACAGCAACTAAAAATTCTAGGCAACAGATCACAGTCCAACAGAAATGCAGCCAACCTATGGTCCCATTTACCATATTATTTTGTGAAGGACTTAGTCCTTGTCCAGCCAGCGAAATGGTTAAAAAATTCAAGCAATATTCAATTAGACCAGACAATATTTTCTGCAACAGTAGAGTAACACGAGCAGTATTACCCCACTTGCTGCTGTGATGTTGTGATGATGGAAAACAACTTAGAATATCATTAATACCAAAAATTAAAATATAAATAAAATTAGAGGCAGATAATCAATTTTTTTATGACTCTAAAGAGAATCATTGTAAAGAAATGGTTTGTTTTTGTTTGAAGTTACAAATTTACACTTTTATTTCCCTTGCAAGAGGTGCAGGCAATCTCCTAATTTATGTGGTTAATGGAAATTAGCACAGATGAATTTAAATTTGAATAAATCGTTTTTGTATTTTAAATTCTATGTGTCTGGATACATTTTTAATTTTGGTTTATGAAAAATAAATTTATATATATTTGGTTTATTTTCATACTAAATATAACTTAATTAAGTGCTTGGAAATGAACCATACTACTTGGTTTAAAGATCAACAATAAGGTAAAGGTCAAATTATGCTCATTATAAAGGTATAGTTTCAAGTAGTTTTTGTCACTCAATCCTACTTTTCCCCACACAAAATCAGGGTCGCTTCAGTTGTTTTATCCTTTTACCAAGTATTTTCCCCCAAATTATCCATCTAATGAGTCTAATCCTACTCATTAACCATGAAAGTTTCAAGAAGTATCCCAGGACCAACTGGAAGCAGCCAAATGTCTAAAGCAAAGAAAATAAGTGTTGTAGACAATGTTACCAGAATAGTGACAACAACAGAACTTCGGTATATAGTATCATATAATTTGCATACCTCAAACAAATTAGTAGATTGGAGAAGGAAAAGCAACATGCTAATTCAACTGATAACAAATTCCATAACATATTCAACAAGTAAATATTTCTCTAGCAAAATAGTCATTTTTCAATCTAAAATTATGCAAGGTGATTAATCTTAATCTCTGCAAACCTCTTGAGGAGACTGAGAAGTCTGTGGAGGAAGTACTGCAACATTCCCATTATATTTTGTGGCAACTCCAGAAGAAGGAAAGGGAGAAACACGACCATCATTATCAGAACTTGAACGGTAGAATTGGCCATAATAAGTTGCTGGATCCAATGGCTGTTAAACCAAAAGATTGAAGCATTCAATAACAGAAGTAGTATTAGAGCAAAAGATTGCACAACTGCAATTCACTTTATTGAAACAATACTTTAGATTATAGCAATCAGCAGAATGACCATAAGCCAAACTCAAACTGAGAATATAACATATACAATTTTCTACTACTTTTTACATAAAAACCATGCTAAAAGAAACTTAAGTTTGAATAAGACGTAGACATCAATAGAGAAGCATATATTAAAGACAAGAAGGGGTGGAAGTGGATGCTTACGACAAAGCTTGAAAGGCGAGAAACTTCATGTGCTTGAGATTCGGTGTTTTCAAATGGCACTAACATAGGAGGCACAAATCCAAAACTGTAGTTAGGAGATGTATGGACCACAGAGTATTGCTGGCCTCCAGAGAGTAATGCAGTCTCCTGCTTGTTTTCATTATACTCGGGAATGGAACTAGAGACATCACCATCACCAGACAAATTTTCAGGTGCATGTGCAGGTGATTGTGGATGATCAATGTAATCTCCTTCCTCGGCAGTTGCCAATGCATTTTTATTGCTGGAATCAGTAACATAACAAGAAAATAACATGAGCCAAACACACAAAACACACCAAATAGCAGCAAGATTATGATCCCTACAAACGTTAGCATTGCTTTTTCTGTAGAAAAAAAGAGGGCAACATTGCTTAGAAGAGAAGTCAAAAGTTACATCCATTGGAAACTCTTAACAAACCTCGAAGCCTGTTCCTCTGCAGTTTCATCAACACCCTGAGAAGACTCAGACAAAGGTGTAGAACTCTTATCACTCTCCTGATCACCAACATAGCTCAATGTTACTCCAAAACTAGCATCAAAACTTCCAAAACTCAGCTTGGTTCTTTCAGATTCAGGGACATGGATATGTTTTGGAATTATAACATGTTGACGTTGAGGGAGACGTAACTCCTCCAGCTTCTTCTGCAATTTTGAAGTTGCTTTTTCTGAGTCAAGAACACTTGAAACAGGCTGCAACTGAGCATTGGCATCAAGTGAAACAGTAGGAACTTCAGATGCACCAGCTGCTCCAGAACCTTGCCCAACATTAGAGATGGTTGGCTTTGGTTTCCACTCCTTGTTAGAACCAACTGTTAATGACATACAGGGAATTAATACTTATTTGCATATCTTTAGCAAGCCTTTCAACTATCTTTGGGTAAGAACATAAAGTGGCCCAAACATTTGTCAGTATCAGCCAAAATATGTTCCAAGTGCAAACATTTCATTGAAAGTCAACCAACCGTAACTAATATGAAAACAATGAAAAACCAAGCAAACTTGTGTTAAAGATACTATCTTAAGCTTAAAATGCTTTCCTTTTCTTCCCTCCTCACAGTTACACTGTTATTTAAGGGGCTACTGTTGTTTACATAAGAACTCTTTACATATCCTTCCGAATTATAATGATAAATTTTATGCAAAAATTACAACATACAACCAAATTCAGTCTTACTCAAAGGAAAAAAGTATGCTGATACCCATTTACCAAATTCAAAGATAGTTATAGATTCCAACCATAATAAGGGCCAACATAGCAAGTCTGAACATCATTTTTTAAGCAAACTTGAGGCTACATTCAAGTAAGTTTTCCAAGTATAAATGAAGTTACATAAATGCCAACTCCAGGGCAAACCAATATATCTTGATACCTAGGCTAGATCTAGAAAACACAGGCATCCATGTAGAATCTAGTAAAAACACTTGAGTTAAATCAGTAACTTCTTTCTCTTTTTCTCTTTATATAGTGAGGAAGGATGACAGCACAAAATCTGCAATATTTCTCTGTTTTTATCCAATTAAGTTTCATAAATCAAAGAGAAGCTCACCTCAACTTCATCAACTATGATCAATACATAAAAAAGTTCCAAAACAGCATTGATCAATAGAATATTCCAATTACCTTTCTGAGGAAAAATTATTTGTTGTGGGCGGCCACCATAATTGGATGAAGGCTTACTCGTAGAGGAACCATGGGTTGCTGTAGACAAAGGTTGGGCAGACTCACTCAGCGGATTTTTCACTACTCCGGAGGATTTGCTTGGCATATTTTCTTGCAAGAAAGAGCTACTAATTTCGGTAGCTGCTATAAGTCATAGAAAGAACCGAATCAGATTGATCACAACACAGAATAAAAGTTATCCAAAACTGATTAAGTTTTTCAAAATCCTGACCAGAAGCGGATTTGTTTTCAGTAGGAATAACTGCATTTGGTTCTGTAGAAGCCCGGTTGCTTCCCACTTCACGTTTGATTGTGCCCAAAGTCCCGAGGAGCCGAGAATCATTGGATGGAACTAGTACAGGGTCTGAAGATGAGAAGCAGATTGCTGATGAAGATGCTGGAGCACTTGACATGAAGCAGTCACTAGAGCTTGCTGCAGGTTGCCCATTCATGTTCCCTCTTCCGAATGCAATGGTTGGTATGTTTATTGCATCAACAGGGGATGGTGCACTCACAAACTCATTGTTACCAATAGTTGAATTTTCTTGAGGTTGATTGGCAACATTTCTTGGAGGTGCAGAAGAGGTTTCAGCCACTACACCAGTAGGACCATTGGCCATGACAGGTAAAGGGCTATAAAACATAATAATAAAAGCGTAATTCAAACAAACTGTACTGAAATGAAGGCATATTTTCATCAATAGACAAAAAAAATTTGAAAATTAGAAAAGATAGCAGATAAGTAAATTGTAGCCACCTGGCAATGAGAGTATATTCTTTAGTTTTTGCCTCCTGCAAGGTTAACAAGGATTGGCCACTGCCTTTCTCTGCAACTTGATTCGTTCCATTATCTCTCCCAGGACCAGAACTCTTGGAACCACCAGCCTCTAATAAGATAAGCAGACGACAATTACAGTAAGCAAAATTGCTGACAATGATTCAAAATTTATATTAAAATCTAGAACAAGATTCATGGAAATTTCATTCATTAAATATTTATATTCAAATCTAATTCAGATTCATGGTCATTTCATATATCAAACTGAAACAATTGCAAAGATATAATAACAACGGCAAGTCAGCAACCACCGCATCAGCACCACACAGGTTAGTAATAGAAACCACATCTGACACAAAATTCAACAAAATAAAACATGTTCAATACAAAACTTAACAATTTGTTCATTGACCTGGAAGTAAACCAGTCACATGGATGAAACAAACACAAGTTCATGCAGCAAAAATAACTCATTATTTCAGAAGACTGACGGTACACAACAAACAATAATCTTAAACACATTTTTGTTCTGAAATTTCTGTTTACCATGTGCCATATAAGGAGGAGAGAAATTCCCCCGGCCACCCCTAGTCCCCCTTCCCTGTGGACCAGATCTCCACCGAGGCTCTGCAGACTCTTTGTTGTTCAAACTCTGCAACAATGAGTAATAAACAAACATTAACCACAAAGGATAAATCCAAGTCTGAAGCAAGCAAAAAGGAAAACAAATTCTTTATCAAACTCTCTATGTGAAATATAAGGAATGCTTGGCAAACTACTACCAAGTAGCCTCTGCCCCCAACACCCCCATCTCAAAATGAAAAAACAAGCAATTGGCTATGGGTAAAACAAAACTAGGTGCCAGTTACCTAAGCCTCCTCCCCTCTATGACCTACTCAAATTTATGCTTTGCTTACTCATCATGTAATACCATTGCAACTTTTCGAACCAATATCACTAAAAAGTTTCAACATTGCCAAAACAGGAAAATGTAAAACTTACCGAAATTCAAAAAAAAACAAAAGGTAAACACTTGCAAATTTTGCAGTAGAATCTCTTACCTCTTTTTTCCTGTCACGCTTTCTTTTGACTTCATGAAAAGGACCTGAGAGATAACATACAAATTTGTCATATATTTGGAAGCAAAATGAATTAAACCCTGATAAACACATGATAGTACAGTGTTTACAAAGAATGCACCAATTAAAATGGTAATGTATCAGAAGCAAGCAGTCAGATATAAACAAGAGAGTAACATAGGCTAAGAACACATATATCTGACAGCTGTTTGCTCCAAACCATGCCATAACTCATATGAAGTAAGGAAAACTGATAAGCTTACAGCACATTAAAGGCCATAGCATGATATCAATGCTCAACTTGATATCAAACAGAAGCAACTACAAACATCAAAATATCGACAAGATTGGAATAAATAACAGACAATAACAAAAACAAGGGAAAAATTAACCAACAAACAAAACAGTAAAATTCCTCAGGGCTAATAAGCCACAGTCTTTAGCAGATGCCTATCACCACATTAAACTTCCTCAAAACGCTTAATGTGGCATTGAATGCTAACCAAAAGCTTCACTTAACAGGCATACAATTTCACAATTCATTAGAATGTGAATTAGTGTTATAACAGTAAATGGCACATTTAGTAGCTATGTGCCTAAGAAAAAATATGTGAAGGAAAACAAGAAAACGAGAATATTAAAAATGAAAACCTTTTCTAATCTAATAAAATAAGGTAGCTTTTTAAAAACCCAACAGAATCATAATGTCCTTACTAATGAACTGAAGGTGGGAATAAGTAAACAATGAGCTTCAAGAGATACACGACCATTGAAGAAGCAATTTAATCAAAAGCCCATTTGAAGAGCTAAGTTCGTTTCCTTGTAAATATAACATAGACAGATTAAATCCTTAGCTAACTCTCAGAAAAAAATACAAAAAAAAATCTGAATACCAACAATTACGTAAATTGCAAAGAAAAAATCAAAAACCAAAGCTTGACATTTACAGATATATTTAAAGATATCAAAAAATTTTGAAAAGAAAAAAAGAAATACACATCAAATTAAAATCTAATAAATCCATGAACAGCGCAAAGTCATCACACCCAAAAATAACCTACTACAGTCGCCAGCAACAAAATCCAAATCACCAAAATGTAATTAAGATCAAAGACAAATTCGACAGATCACAAGAAAACATCAAAACCCCAAAAACAATAAGATCAACCCCATTTCAGCAACCCCCTCCTCAAAGAAAAAAACTACCCCATCCAAAATATCCAAGAAGAAATTGGAAACTTAGCTAGAAAGAGACTTAAAGGAGAAGAGAGAGAAAAAAGTACCCTGAAGGAGGAGCCTCTGAGCGGTTTCATTGGGATCCATAGAACATTCTTTAAGCATTGCATAAATCTCATCTTCACTATGATTACCCGTGATCTCTTTTATGTTTTGGACCGTTTTGCTCACGCTGCTTGGGATTGAAACCCTAAACCCCCCACCGCTCATCTTCTCTCAAAAATCGATTTTTCCCCTTTTTTCCCACTTCCCTTCAAACAAAACCCTCTCTCCTCCTTTCTCCCTTGTTTACCACTATCAACTATATTTTTCTATATTATTAGTATATAATATAATAAATATAATAATATTTTCTTTTTTTTTGCTATTTTTAGTGTACACAGAGAGGAGAGAAATGGAGAGCTGGAGACTGAACAGAGCTACTTGATTAATGCAAGAAAGAAATCTGAACTTGGAAAATGAAATTGTGAATTGCTTTTTATGGGTTTTTTTTTTTTTTTTATTTGATCTAAAAATGAAAGGCAAGAGGAAAGTTTAAGGAGGGAGCAAAATGTATAGTGTATGGCTTTTTCTTTTTATTTTTGGGTTTACTTTTTAACGTTGGTGAGTTGGGTGGTGATGTGTATAACATTTTGGTAACAAAATTTTTTTGTTTTCTTTTACTTTGCATGTCGAAGAAGATGTAATGCGTTCCGATTGTTTGAGTGAGTCATTGTTATTGGCTGAGTAGAAGCCACGTGGTCCGTGGGAAATTCATGCTCAATTCTTGCTTTGATTTCTTTTTGTGCGCGTGTGTTTTGGGGTTTCTTTTTCCTCTAAACCACAAACCACGTGACTTTATTTTCTAACTTTCGAGACTCAATTTTCCTTCGGCAATTTCAACAAATTTTAATAATAAATATATTTTAAGAAAAAAAAAAGCGTATGATCTACTATTTTTGTGTAATTTAGAGATTGAGTTGTAAAACATCTATAATCAATGGGCAATAAGGGTAATATTCCGAAATGTAATTAAAGACTCAAGTCAGTCAAATTTTAAAAAAAAAAAAAGAAAATGAGAAAAGAATGCTCCAAAAGAGCACAGAGAAAGTGTTAAGAGTTGAGACAATTGTACGTCTGATGATTTTTTTTTTTACAAGACAAATGGTTTACGTGTCTTGAAATCGGACGATGATAACTTTAGAGTCATAATATTATTAATGTAACTACTAAAATATAGGAGTATTATTTTTATTTTTTATTTTAATGAAAATATAAATAAATATTATATTATAAATACAAATATTGATATAAATATAATCGAATCGAACTAAATCAATATATTAAAATATTTGAGTTTGATTTAAAAATTAAAACTCGAAACTCGATTCAAAATTACTTAAATTATATTTTTCAAGATCGAATTCGACTCAAGGTAAAACTCGAGTCGACCTTAAACTCACTCAGCTCGAATTCTAATAAAAAATTTATAATTCATATTCGTTATCCATGAAACAAAAATCAAAATAATAAAATAAGAACCGTAAAATCTTATGTGAATCATTTTGAATATATAAAAAATATATATAAATTTTAAAAAAATAAAAACAATTTAAAAAAATAAAATAAAATAAAATTCAAATTACATGCCATCTTTTTAAATAACTAACAAATCATACGATGATATCAATAATTTAATAATTTTTTTACGTGTTTTAACACAATATATTCAAATATTACAAATATATATAAAAAAAAAAAAACTAAAAATACCACAAATACCTAGAAAAAAATAACAAATAGTAGAAATGCCGGAAGGAATGGCTGTTCCTATCAGGATAGGATTTTAACTTAGTATATCCGATTGATTTGTGTCTTCATTTTTTGCAAATTATCACTAACTTTTTTTTAGCATAGTTTGTAATCAGGAGGGCCTTTCTTGTAAGAATTAGAGTTGAAACATAATATAAAAATAAATTTAAAAAATAATATAATCAAATAAAAAAATCAAATTACATGCCATATTTTTAAATAACCCACCAATCACAATCACAACTATGATATCAATAATTTAACACTCTTTTTTACATAATTTGACACAAAAATAGATTCAAATCTATAAATATCCAAAAAAAAAAAAACTAAAAATACCACAAATACCTAGAAAATTTTTCAAAAAGCTATGAACAAAAATAACAAATAGTAAAAATGCTGGAAATTATGGTTGCTTTTGTCAGGATAGGATTTTGACTTAGCATGTGATTATTTTATGTCTTTACCTTTTATAAATTATCACCAACATTTTCAAGCATAGTTTGTAACAGGGAGTGCCTTTCTTACAATAATTGGAGTTGAAATATGATAAAGTAGACTTAGAGAAATAGGAGCAAGAGAAAGAGTGAAAGAGGCAGCATTGTTTGAATGAAAGGAGAGTGTGAGAGTGAATGAGGAAAATAATAGATCTAAGGCTTTTAGTTTTAGGTTTTTATATTTTAAGGGTAAAATTATAATTAAACTAATAAAATATATATTAAAATAAAAAAATTGAATAATTTCACAAACACTTGAATAAAGTATTAAAATATTCAAACTCAATTCATTCGATAAATTGAGTTATTCAAGTTTAACTCAATAACGATAGATCAAATTTAAGTTTTTTTTTTTAATTGAACCCGAATAACTTACGAGTATAAGTGTATCATTTACATTATTAGATATAGGGATGTATTGTTTTAAAATTTTTATTAGGCATAAAGAGAGATGGATAATATGGCACTTGTCATGCACATAAACTCATACCCTACATATATATATTTAGCAATATATATTTTTATTAAATAATATAAATTATTATTTTAGATTAATTATAATTAATATATTTTTATTAAAAATTATATATCAATATAATTATAAAAAATTATCTAAATATATAAAATAAAAAAATAAAAAATTATTTATTTTTATTTTTTTAATTATGAGTATAGAGATTACCCATACTCATTAAATACCCGTAAATATAAAAATTGAGATAAATTTAAAATATTAGTTAGATATAAATATGATATAGGTATAATATAAAAATCTGATGACAATGATGAAAAATGTCTTATCCTCCCCATACTCTACTAATATCTCCATTCAAATATAACAATTATGTAATCACAAAAATTAAATAAAAGGTTTATAAAATTATATTTGCAATCACATTTATAAATTATAAAATTTATATGTTTTATAATTATATAGATAGCTTATATATAATAAAAAATAACGTGAGGATTTAATTTGAATTTTATTTTGGCATTTGAGAAAAGTTATGATTTAAATATAAGTTTGATTTTGAAAAAATTTTCATTAATTTAATTAATTAATTGTTATTAATTAAAATAAATATTGCGAGTTTTTAGTTATTCATTCATATTTTGTCATTTTATCATAGGAGAAAAAGTCACAAGCCAATCATATAAATCATTATTTATCATTAACAAGAAATATGCTACAACAAAGCCATGTATCATTTGCCCAAAGAGTGTGTGAGCAAACCAAACCTTGCAATAAAACCTTTAAAATGCAAATTATTTTATCACTCCATTTGTATGAGTTTATGAAAACTTTTTAAAAATATAATCAGCCAAGTATTTCATGATACAAACATTTTAATAAACTATTATTATTTTTTAAAGTATTCAAACTTAACTTAATTTTTTTTTAAAATTTAATTAATTTATATAATCATTTTTAAAAAATAAAAATTTACATATTTAAAATTTAAAATTTAAATTTTACAATATAATATGAGATTCTCATATTACGATCTTATTTATAAAAAAATGCATAACTTTTATACACAAAACCAAAAATTTAAGTATCACATTTGAGATAAATTTGATAATTTCAAAACCAATTATCCAAATATTCTTACTTTTTAAAAATTACTAGTTGATGATTAATTAATTAAACAATGGTCCTTCTATCTCATTTATTTATTTATTTATTTATTATCCCAAAATTATGTCAATTTTCATTTTTTGAACATTTAAAATTTATTTTTTTAATGATTTTTTTTTAATTTTTAACATTAAAAATCACAAAATTTTAATTTTAATGTTAAAACTTTAAAATTAAAAATTTTTTCTTAAATTTCATAAAAATTACTACCGCCGCCCAAATAATTTACAAAGGAGGGAATATTTATTTTGGCCCAATGCTTTAATGATTTAATATTGATTTTTTGCTACTTTTTCATCATAAATTTTTTAAGCATGTGATTAAAAGTTAATAAAAGTGATTTTATTAAAAAAAAGTTAAAAAGTGATTTGTAATCCATATTCCATAGGATTGATTAACCTTTTTGATAATGAATAATGAGTTTATTAGAATATTAATAAATTAGGGAAATAATTGAAGAAAAAAGTTTAGCAAAATTGCCTAAATCTAAGCCTTTTTGTTTTATAAAATTAGATTGATTTTAATTAAAAATAAATAAAATTTAAATTTACCATGTTATTTAGATTCTGTTATTTATTTGTTGTTTTTAATAAAAATGAAAAATAAAAAAATTAAATAAAGCATAAATTAAACGAAGATTTTGCCATTAGATATTTCCCCCATAAAAAAAATTTACCTCCTCGACTCATCCCCACTTTGAAGGAAAGGAATCAAGGCAGCCAGAAACTTCACTTTATTTACAGTTTTTTTTTTTTTATTATTATTAAAAAGAAAAGAAATCACGAAAATTTTTTTTTTTCTGATTTTCCAGTTATTCTAATTTGTACCTTCTATTTCTAACGCTACCTGAAGTCCAGCATATCTTCAAACCCTAGCCTCCGCCCCAATCTCTTTCTTCGACCTCCATAGATTTCAAAACCCAAGCTTTCATGGGTTCCAGAAAGGGTAGCGACAATGATGGTGCTAGCCCTGGGTACATAGATTTATACCCTTTTGCGCTTTCTTTCTATTTCCAAACATTCTCAATATTTAATTTTTTTTTCATTCTTCTGTGCAGGAAAATCTTTATTGGAGGATTAGCTAAGGACACAACTCTAGGTGACTTGAGCTTTTTTTCTCTTTGAAGTTTCCATGTGTTTTTCTTCGATGGATATTCTTCGAAGTACTGACTTTTTAAACTTTTTTTTGGGTTTTGGTATATTTGGTGGGTTTTTTCAGAGACTTTTACCAAATACTTTGAAAAGTATGGGGAGATAACAGATTTTGTGATAATGAAAGATCGACATACGGGTCGGCCCCGTGGTTTCGGGTTTATTACCTTTGCGGATCCTTCTGTTGTTGACACTGTTATGCAAGAGGATCATATTATTAATGGTAAACAAGTAAGTTAAAGTTTCAGCCTTTTTTGTATTTGAAGATTCTGCTCTTGGTTACTAGTTGGAAAAAAATTTAGCTTTAACCGTGTTGGGTCTGATTAATTTTAGAACTTGGTTTTTGGTTTTCTCAGTGTTTAGTCACTTTCTTTGCATTTGAGTTGTGCAGAGCTAAGCTTCTTAGTGTTAATGTTGGATTAATTAAAGGAGCAAAAAAAAAAAAACACTTTGTCCTTTGTAATGTGATGCTTAACAAATGAGCATCATGTTGTTGGGGTGGATTTAGCTGTAATGTGGTTTTTGTGTTGTATGGAAAAGTTGGATTGATTTTGTTGTGAGATTTATTAAGTGATCTTGTATGATGAATTGATTGGCACAGGTTGAGATTAAAAGAACTATTCCAAAAGGTTCTTCACAGTCAAATGACTTTAAGACAAAGAAAATTTTTGTTGGTGGGATTCCAACATCAGTTACCGAAGGTGTGATATTTGATATATACAGTTTTTTATAACATTGAGTGCTATATTATATTGTACTAATTGTTACTGTTGATTCTTTTAACTGGAGGATATTGTTTATTTATTATTTTTCCTTTTCGTTGCTGTTTGAACCTTAGATGAGTTCAAGAATTTCTTCTCAAAGTATGGAAAGGTGGTGGAACATGAGATAATACGTGACCATGCAACCAAGCGCTCTCGGGGTTTTGGTTTTATTGTGTTTGACAGTGATAAAGTTGTTGACAATTTGCTGGCTGATGGAAACATGATAGATATGGAGGGCACTCAGGTGAGTACTTTTGTTCAATGGTACCCTATACAATCTGATGTAGACAGATATGTATATTCTCTTTGCATAGAAACAGTGCGAAGAGGCATGTCAAACACTTCCAGTGATGGAAATAACCATTATTGTTATTCTTTTGAGTTAAATATCATCATGTGCTTCTTTTGGTTTTCAAAGTTGTATTTTTCAACTTTCAATTTAGCTGAGCTCATTGCAGGTTTATTTTTGTTATTATGATTCTTTTCTTCTCAAGGCAGGCTGTCAAGATAATTTACTGGTGAAGGAAACCTAGGTTAACTTACTTCTTTGTTGTAGGTTGAAATCAAGAAGGCTGAACCAAAGAAAGCCTCAAACCCAGCACCTGGTCCTGCATATGGTAGTGAATCTAGGGCACGCTCATACAATGATGGTTTTGGTGGATTTGGTGACTATGGTGGTTTTGGTGGTGGTGGTTTTGGTCCTGCTCCTTATAGGTCTTTTGGAGGTTTTGGCAGCAGATTTGGAGATTATGGTGGTTATGGTGGTGCTGCTGCTGATTTTGGTGGTAGTTATGGGGGGTTTGGTGGTGGTGGTGGTTTTTCTGGTTATCGTGGAGATTCATCATTTGGTTATTCTAGCCGATTCGGTTCCTATGCTGGTGGGCTTAGTGGGAGTGGTATAGGTGCATATGGACGTGGAGGTGGTGGCTATGGAAGTTATGGTGGTTCAGGCTCAAGTGGTAGTTATGATTCAGGCCCAGGTGCTGGTTTTGGTGGATCAGGTGGATTATATGGTAGTAGAACAGGATATGGAGGCAGTAGTCGCTATCATCCTTACGCAAGGTAGAGGTGTGTTTAAGATCTTCCATAGAAGTTGCCCCAGGTTTTCAAATTCTCAGCATTTGTCACCACATGGTTCGGTAGGCACTGTGCACTTTTGCAAGTGGGCACTATCTAGAAGATCAGAGGAACTATTAGATTTGCCCGTCTTCAGTCTATTGCTTAGAGAACCCAAGTTAGATCAGCATCAACCTAGATCTTCTCATCAAAGAGCAAACTTGAATTTTAGTTGAGCTGCTATCTTTTTCTCTAAGTTTATTATTGTCAGTTTATTGTGGTTAAAGACTTCTATCCTGTTTTGAGCTTAGTTAGAACCACTTTTGAGGTGTGGATGTAACATTTAGGTAATTAGTAATTACACACTGGATTGTTGTTGACATAGAGAGCTTGTTGCTTTTTAACTTTCTAGTTTTTCCTGGTATGCAAATCTCAAGGCCTAGGTAACTTTTCACAGGTAGCATATGCATTTATGTGGTTCTGTAGCTACACAGGTAAGAGCACTATTCAATTTAAGTTTCTAGTTTATGTTGAACTAAACAGCGATTCGGCTTAGACAGTTTGAAATGCTTGTAGATATTAATTAACTAGTGAGATGGCTTTTAATAGTGTGGGTACATATCTTGGGGATGCATACAGTAGTGCATGTAAAATGTTTCGAACTTGCATGGTGTGGTGCATTTCTTCAGCTCAAGGATTTGGTAATGTTTGTTGAGCATTTACCATTTCGAGGAAGTAGGGAGATAAAAATGAAAGAATTGTAAAGCACCACCCCGGGGGGGGGGGGGGGAGATGAAACGAGTTTTCCATATACCAAGTTTCCTTGTGCTAATCAAAGGTGGTGGATGTGCTTGAAATGCAAATTATATACTGTTGGTATTGTTGTTGCTGTTGCAGATACGATGGGTTTTCCAATGAATGAATATAATATAAAGATCATTCATGGATACAAGTTGTGAATTTCTTGTTTATTGTTTCAAGGAAAGTGTTGCCTAAGCTTTGATGGTATGAGTTTTGATATCAAGGTAGCATAACGTACTAAAACTAAGTGTTATTTGGGGGATTAAATCTTGTTAATCTAATTAACAACAATATATTTATTTAAAATTGGATAAAAGCTCTCATGAGGATGACTGTAGCTTTTAATATATATCTGGACACTAATCTTGTGATGTCTTATATTATCACAAACACATTTTTTTCTCCTTTACATGTCTAAATCTTAACGTTATATTCTTATTTTATTAGGCTTTTATTTAAATCTAACGAAACGTCCTTACCTTCTTTATTGATTCATTTAATGTTTCCATTTATATTTTTGTAGCAAGAGTTTTTAAACCTTATTATTAAACTTATTATCAAAATTTGAAATAATTAATAACTAAAAATTAATTTAAAATTTTAATGAACAAAGTCATTATTTATATTTGATTAATGTCTTTTCTTTTTTTTAAATTTTTTCACATTCACAGTCATACATATCATATAAAGTATAAATTATTATAGATATAGATAAGCAATTATTAATTAACTAAATTAAATATCTAGTTAATACAATAGAATGTTTTATCTTTATTAAGGATTCATTTCGATTTCATCAGCCCTGCAAGCTGGTAAGGTATATTTGGATAGCATTCTGCGGTACGATTGGGCTACTGGATTTTAGGCAATATTATAAAATTATAATATAAGATATTTTGATTTTTTTTTGAGGTATTTAATAAATTTTAATGTCGCTAGTGTTGTTATTTTCAATTTGATCTTAATCAATTCAGCATAACATCCAAAAATCATTTATTACAACTTTAAAAAAAATTCCGCATTAATTTACAAACTATTAAGACGTGAGCTTAAGCTTAGAATGTGAAGTATCAACCATCTCACAATTTCGATAACTACTCCCTCTATTTCAATAATTTTTTATTTTTTAAAAGATGTCTAAAAATTATATTTTATTTTTTAAATATCTAAAATTTTTATTTTTTTATATTTAAAATTATTTATATATTTGACATTAAAAATTATAAAATTTTAATTTTATAAAAAAATTTTAAATTTTAATGTTAAATATATTAAAATTATAATTTTTTAAAATTCTGTGAAAATTAATATATCACAAATAATATGAGACGAAAAGAGTATAATAATAAAATAATAAATATATAAATAAAGGAAATTAAAAATTTAAAAATACACGCGGCAATTTATAGGACGTCACCCTTGCGCCACGTGTTAACCAATTGGGCTGCAGTGTACGTGGCGGAAATACACTCTACTACCCAGACATCGTTACTCTTTGACTACCAAAACTGCCCTCCAACGCAATCCGGGTCACCATTTCAAAGTGCATTAAAACCTGAGTTGTCAATTTTAATGCCCTTATCGGAACCATATATATATATATATATATATATATATATTATTTTTAATATTTATTCTTGTAAGAATTTATACCCTTCAATCTTCATTCTTACAAAAGCTAAAATGCATTGACACTGCCATATGCTTCTCAGTTATCACAACTTCTCTAAAGCATCTTAAAGCACTAAGGTAAATCTCAAGCTATATGTTTTGTTCATCAATATTCTCTTTTTTTAGTGTCATTTCTAGTCTTTTTGCTATAAATTTTTTGGGATTGATTTGGTTTGCTGTTAGTCATAGCAATGTGACAACTTTTTCTTTTGGATGATTTCTGAATGTGGGTTTTGATTTGCTTGATTGTTTCAATCATATTTGTGGTTTGCTAATTTAACAAGCTGTGATTTTATCAAGGCTTTATCTTAAACTTCTGTTTCAATATAGAGCCAAGTTGGTTTGCTTCTGTCTTGGTTTTTGTCTTTTATTTATTTGTTTATTTATTTTGGATTTATGAAATTTCACTTGTTGATCAGGCAATTATTAGAAAGATCATATGATCATGATTTGTTCTTTTGCATATTTGGGTTTTGTTAACCAGTTTTTTTTCTTATTGTCTCATCATGCATGATAGTTAATACATTCAAAATTTTAGTGGAAAATAAAAAGAAGTTCAATTCTTCTCTATATTATGCCTTATCGTTTCTGTAATCTCTCTCTTTATTTTACCATGTATGTTTGTATGTTCTCGGCTTGAGGCACATTGTTTTGTACAGGTATACATGCATGTTTGTTGTTTTTTTAACCGTGGTCAAATTATAAGCAACAAAAGAAGTAAAAGAAAGAAAAAAAAAGTTCTAAAATTTCCTGTCAAGTGTGGATGAGCTGTATGTCTTCTTCACTAGTTATTCTAACTGTAGAAGTATAAGCTAATTTTTCTGTTTACTTTGGCAAATTATAATCAGGTATTAAGGTCTTTAGAGGACTGTCAAGAACATTATACCTTTAACTTAGTCATGATTAGTTGAATACCCAAGACCTTTTATTTTGGCCCGAACTTCTGTTTCTAAAATTTAATTCACTGCCAGTTGAATGTTGATCTAGTTGCTTACCTTTTCCATGTATTTTAGCTCATTAATAATTCTCCCTTGTAAAGAATGGTGTAGGTTTTCGATATAAACATTCAGAATGGACAATACTGAAGGAACAACGACTTTTAACACACCCGTGACAGAAACATTAGATGTCAATGATTACTTGTCATCATTTGGGAAAAGCTATGGAACATATGGGGTTGTGGTTGCTGCTATTATTGCCATGATTATGCCCCTATTGCTTTCCTCCATTTTCATGGGAAAGAAAAAAGGGAAAAAAAGAGGAGTTCCTGTAGAAGTGGGTGGTGAAGCAGGTTATGCTGTGCGCAATGCTCGAATTACTGAGTTGATTCAGGTTCCTTGGGCAGGGGCCACAACAATGGCTGCACATTTTGAGCAATGTTGCAAAAAGTATTCACGAGATCGATTTATTGGAACAAGACAACTAATTAAGAAGGACTTTGTTACTTCTAGTGATGGCAGGAAATTCGAGAAGCTACACCTAGGGGATTATGAATGGCAAACTTATGGACAGGTTTATCACCGTGTTTGCAACTTTGCATCTGGGCTTATTAATTTTGGTCATAATGTCGATACTCGTGCCGCAATTTTTTCTGAAACTCGAGCAGAGTGGCAAATTGCCTTTCAGGTATTGCTATGATCCTTTAGTTTAACACTTTTTTTTGTTAATTTTAACTATTTTTCCAATTCAAGTTTTAATGTACAGATATCTTTCTTTTTGATTTCCAGGGATGCTTTAGGCAGAATTTAACAGTTGTCACTATTTATGCTTCCCTAGGTGAAGATGCCTTGATTCATTCTCTCAATGAGGTGAGAATTTATTGCGTATGTTTATTTTCTGAGGCTGAAATAGTCAGGACATAAATGGCTTATTGAATGTATTGTGTGATTCTATTGTTAAATAATATTGTTTATCTTCCTTACTTCTCGTTTCTCATTTCCCAATACTTGTTGTCCTCATTCAAAGTTTTAAAATTATGACAGACACAGGTATCAACCTTGATCTGCGATTCCAATCAGTTAAAAAAGTTGGCTGCAATAAGCTCAAGCCTGAAAACTATCACGAATATCATTTACTTTGGAGATGATGAGACTGCAAATGTTTCTGGCTTATCTGGAGGTATGAGTGACTGGAAGGTTTCTTCTTTTCTTGAAGTTGAGAAGCTTGGAGAAAAAGCTCCTGTTCCTCCTAATCTGCCCTCCAAGGATGATGTAGCAGTTATAATGTATACAAGCGGCAGCACTGGTCTGCTAAAGGTTTGCTACTGAATTTAGTTCCTTATGTTTCACCTTAAGTATATTTGTATATGTGCAAGCTTAGGGACCCACCTAGAACAATGCTTGCATTGTCAATTAGCCTTAGTGGAATGGCAGGAACTGGTGGATTTATCTTTACTGATTACATGCTGAAAAACAATGTAGGTTCTGTATACGGTATACCTTGTTCTAAGTCAAATTCAAAATTTCAAGATGTAGTGTACATGTCTGCATACTATTAATTGAATTGAAGACTGATAAATTATATTTTCATGATAAATCGTTCATGCAACCAAGCAACTACTTGTGCCCTGATTGCTATTTCCTCAATTTCAGAGTTCTATTTGTTTATATATGCTAACATGATGTACTTTTTAATGAGTTAGGGAGTAATGATAACTCATGGAAACATTGTAGCCACTGCTGCAGCAGTTATGACTGTGATCCCAAGACTGGGAAGAAATGATGTATACTTGGCATAGTTGCCCTTAGCTCATGTTTTTGAACTGGCAGCTGAGGTAAGTTCATATCCAGTTTTTTTGTTGCCTATCAATGCCATCGAGATTATTCTTACAATTGTGTGATTCTCACAATTGTTTGTTCTCCAGTCGCTGATGCTGTGTGCAGGTTGTGCAATTGGCTATGGTTCACCTTTGACATTAACAGATACTTCTAATAAAATTATGAAAGGAACCAAAGGAGATGCTTCTGCATTGAAACCCACTCTCATGGCAGCCGTTCCAGCTATACTAGATCGTGTTCGAGAAGGAGTTCTGAAAAAGGTGTGAACTGGTTTGACTCTCTTGTATATATGGAGCAGGCATTTGCACTACGATGAGTTTTAATATATGGGGTAATGACAAGCTGCTCTCTTTACTAATTAATTCTATTTAATGTAGGTTGAGGAAAATGGAGGATTAGCAAAGAAACTTTTTGATATTGCTTATAAACGCTGACTGGCAGCTATAGAAGGAAGCTGGTTTGGTGCTTGGGGACTGGAGAGATGGTTGTGGGATGTTATTGTTTTTGAAAGGGTACGTGCTGCACTAGGAGGTCGCATCCGATTTATGATCTGTGGTGGGGCTCCTTTATCTGGGAATTCCCAATGCTTCGTCAACATTTGCATGGGGTAATGATTTTCTCATCCTGAGATACCAAAATATAGTTCCATGAAAAATTTGTTTCTCTTATTTATATCAAAATTGATGCTAAATGGTTGGCTTGTAAATATTAATGGGTATCAGTTTCACCTTTCCAGTCAAATCATTTATGTAACAGTAGATTCTTAGAGTGCTAGTGTGACAATCTGGAAGTGTAGTGTTCATTTTGTTGCTTAGATATAACCATATAGGTATCATTACATCAACTATTTTTCTGTGTTTGTATTTACCACATATCATTTTAGACCTATTGCTAGTTGTTAACTGGCCTGTAAGAGTGTCTCTAGTTAGTTATAGGTTTGTAGGAATTGCCTTTCCAGTCATAGCATTGCTTGCGTTTAAGTGGGTCATGAATAACATGACCAAGTTTTGGAGGAATTATTTGCATTGAATGACCAGATGGTTGGAGAAGTTTACCTACAGATCAGTGCATGTCAAGTTCTTATTATGAGGTGGTGAAAATAAAGTAGACAATCGTGAATTATGCTGTTTTGAAATTCTTATTTTCATGGAAATATGTTTTTATAATATTTCATTTCTTTTTCCTTTTGCTGATCATTATATGCAATTTACCTTTTTGAACCAGGCAAACAAATCTCTTCTTTTCTTCTCTGTATATGTGTTTTGCCTTTAGGACCAAAAATAATGAAGCCTTTGAATTAGCAATGACAAGAAGAAAACATTGCTTTCTTTCACATTGGTTTACCTAGTGAAAAGTTATGTGATTAATGTTAAAAGTGGATTGCCACATTCTTGGCTTCAGACATGTTATGCATCGAGCACTTTTGGATTGCAAAAGTTACTGGAAACATGTTGTAATATATAATCAATTGCTCTGAAAGAGAGTTTCAAGTATTACTCTGGTTATGAGTTGGTATCAAAGTTAAAGTAAGTGAAATGTTGGTATATCAAAGAAAGGTGAAATGTTGGTATATCAAAGAAAGACATGAATCAATAGGGCTATGAGGATTGAAGCATCCTAGGAAGTTCAACTTCAGTTCTGCCCTGGATTAATATTTACTAATATAATGACAACGTTGCTCTTGTAAATTGCTTAAATAATATCATGGTTAGTTTTCTCAGAAAAAATTGAATTTTCATACCCAATTTTCTTCGTTAGGGCTTCCATAGGTCAAGCATATGGCTTGACGGAAACATGTGCTGGAACCACTTCTACTGAGTGGGATGACACAACTGTGGGCCGAGTTGGGCTGCCTCTTCCTTGTTGTTACATTAAGGTATGCTACATAAAAGAATCAAGTTAGTTTTGAATTACAGATTTGTTTGCTCTCTGAAGAAAGGTTATGTAAGTTTTTATTTCTGCTGGCACATTTCAGCTTGTGGCTTATGCCCTTGGGTCCTTGGGAGTATTTTTAATGAACAATAATGATGAAAACACTTCTATGACTTTTAAATTGACTGGTAATTGTTCAAGGTGCATAATGTAAAATATTTAAGAATCGGGTTAATTTTGCAGCTTGTCACTTGGGAAGAAGGTGGGTGTACAACATCTGACAAAACGATGCCTCGAGGAGAGGTTGTTGTTGGGGGATTTAGTATAACTACTGGCTATTTCAACAATCCTGGGAAAACTAATGAGGTGTACAAGGTAAAGACTAAAGAGTCCATGCATTGTATTTGTAATGTGTAAGTGGTTTTAAATGTATTTGCAAGTAGGTCTCATAGCATGTGAGCACCAGCTAATATGAACTTTTCTCCTCTTGCGCCTGCAGGTTGATGAGAGGGGCATACGCTGGTTTTACACTGGAGACATTGACGATTTCATCCTGATGGATGCCTTGAGATTATTGATAGGAAAAAGGATATTGTCAAACTTCAACATAGAGAGTATATATCTCTTGGAAAGGTGTTTATAAAGAAGCTTTGTCCAATACCTCTTTGCAAATGCTGGATGGGATGCCCATTTCGTTTAAATGCTGATTGCAGGTTGAGGCAGCACTAATATCGAGTAATGTTGTTGACAATTTGATGGTATATGCAGATCCATTTCATAACTATTGTGTAGCTTTGATTGTTCCATCACACCAGGTTCTTGAGAAGTGGGCCCAAGAAGCTGGCATAAAGTACAAAGATTTTCCCGAGCTGTGTGGCAAAGCTGAAACTGTTAGTGAGGTCCAAAGGTTTCTTTCCAAGGTTGGTTTATTTCTTTTTACATACTGTGACCTTTATCGGAGCAACTGAGATAAGTTTCCAATCAGAAATTAAACACGTTTAGAAGTCATGGGATATAGGGCTTAGTTTTTTGTTGTTGTTGTAGAAGTCATTATCATTATACACAAATATCCTAATCTACAAATGATGATTTCATCACTACTTTGTAACATTGTTGCACAGGCGTAATTTCTGCTTGTTATAAGGAAAAGGAAAATTAGATGCAATTTATAAGCGTATTTGAGTTAGCATGCATCGGAGGATTTCTTTATTTTTCCTTTCTGCAGCATATAAAACAGTTAATAAATATTTCACATATGCTTGAGTGTATCAAGCTCCATTGATGCTATTGGACTCATGCGGAAGGGAAAAAAGGGAAATCAGAATGGTGATTACTAAATAGTGTTTTGCATGTGCAGGTGGCAAAGGATGCAAAACTGGACAAATTTGAAATACCTGCAAAGATTAAATTGCTACCAGATCCATGGACACCTGAGTCTGGACTAGTCACTGCAGCTCTCAAAATAAAGAGGGAACATCTGAAGGCCAGGTTCAAAGATGAACTCCAAAAGTTGTACGAGTAAGAACATAATGCATGATAAACGGCATTTCACAATCATCTGCTATTATTCTTTGTGACATCTGTAGTCTGCTACTCTATCAAGTTTTCTATATTTTCAGACAAAACAAGATTTTAATTGAGTTTCATATAAATTATTGTATCTGAAATTTATAGTTAACCTGGTTATCTAAAGAAAATCTGCTTGGCATTGACACGAGAAGGTACAATACTTTAATCTCAAAACTAAAATGCTTGTCCCCCAACTACGAAATCAATGTATTTCAGTACCATTTGTTGGAGGGTTTTCATAGCCATGATTGTGGCTGTAGCGCCTATAAGTGAAGCTCTATTGTTGATGCAGACTGTTTCAGATGAAAAGTAAGGCGTCTACATGACGCAGTGACTATGTTAATTGTTCTTCGAGTAAGCCATGAAAGATAATAATAATAAACTCACAGTACAGACAGCAGTAAAATCAAGTTCTTATAGATTGCAAGGAGCAAAGAAGAAATAAGCAAGCAACACTCATCATCAATAGTTAATACACCAGTACACCATACATGAACTGAATCTGACTGTAAAGAAGAAAATGGGTGATGATTTTCTGATGCATCTGCAAGATGAATAAACTCTACATCATGTGGCAATGGTTGCATTTCTCAGTGGGATGCTAGTATTCATTATCTAATTAAGTCTTCTTCTAGGACTCTGAGCTTTCCCCTTTCTGTGGTCGTGCAATAAATATGTTCAACAGAAGAAAGGAGCTGAAATTCTACTTTTGCTCGGATGTAGTTGGGCTAACTGCAACAGGCAAATCTGATAGTGATGGCCGCAAGAAGAGATATAGAGCAGGACCTAAGAATGGCACTAATGACAAAGGAAGAAGCCAAAAACCCTTGTCATACCTGCAAATAGGAAAACCATTCCAATAACTTATGTTGTGCCACATAAACTCTTCTTATAAAGGTTTTGAAGCTTAAATTCACACAAGAGCAATGTAGTTTCACTATTGTCTTACCATTTGCGGGCAGTCATATCATTATAAACCCAAAAAGGGGCAAAGGCAGATAGTAGAGTAAAATCAAGGCTTGTGATGTGAATCTGCAACACATGAGATTTGACCCGCAACATGAATATAATTTAAGCTCCATGAGATTATAACAACAAACTGGTAATCAAGCTCAAAAGATTGACAATCTTACAAACTTGCTTTCCCTGAAGTACCGGTAAAACTCCGTCCAAACGTCACCGTTTGCTAAACCTGCGTAAATGATTAAACCTATTCCTGCAGCAAGTGATATCTGAAGTATAATGAAGTTAATTTGCAGTTTTTGCACAAAGGAACACACAAAATTTTCTAATTCCATCAATGAAAGGAAAGTTGTTCAAGGACGGACAAAGAGATTGTTTGTAAAGTTGCTAGCCAAGGTACTCATTTCATGCAGAAAAATAGCTTTCTTTTTTATAGGAAAGCCGAAAAATAGGTTCTGAATACAACTAGGATGAGTTTGGATAGTCGATAATTTTTCTCTTTTATTGATAAAAGGAAGGGTGGGTAAACCAAAGAAACACAGCGTCAGGGTGTGTAGGTTCCATAGAATGTCCTGTTCTTGATCTCAAATAACATTGAGTCTTCCTCAAAGCAATCACCGCTCATCAGTAAATAAATAACTGATCAGCTAGATGTGAGATGGTAAATCAGTTGAAATCAGACTACCATGTTAAACCTTTCTCTACTTGGGACTTTTAAACAGGATGAATAATGTCCACCTATGCTCTCATCCAAGGAGATGATAAGATGCTAGGGCATATCACTTATCAGGGACTAAAACCAAAGAACTGCTATATGGTTGATGCAGTGCATGAATTATAAGTTTGGTACCAAACACTGACTGGAGAACAAAAGATTTCACATGCCAACAAATATTAGGATTTACCAGAAGATTTTATGGAAATGAGCAACTTGGTTGTGGATTTTTAAATCAGATATTGATGTGGTCATGTCAGTCTTATACAACAACACCATAGTCTTGTCAATATTCAGCAGTTTATATAAATTTGAACAAAAGTAATAATAAGAGGATATTGTATTGAAGGGAGAAATGGAAGTTACTTACCCCGGCAGATAATTTTGATTCCAGAAAATTCAAAGGCCATTTTTTGAGCTCATTTTCTTCAACAGGCGGTGGTGGAGGGCTCCAAAGGACAAAATAAGGTAAAAGAGCATATGCACCCAGAAAGCATGAAAGTACCAGAAATGGCCAGGTGGGAATGCTTTTTTTTGAGCTGCAGATAATATATAAGACTGAACTAATTAACTCTAACCTGTATGTCTTGACACAACCATAAGAATGTTCTCTTGCGACCTAGAGGTCATGGGTTCAAGTCTTACTAACAGCCTCTTTTGGGAAAAAAAAAGTGTAAGGCAGCGTACATCCCTGTACATACGCTCCCTACTAGTAGCATAAAGGTTTAGGCATAGAAGATAGTGTGCTACTTCAAACTGTAACACCTCCACCCATTGCATTTGCTTAAGAAATAAATGCAAGAAAACTAAATCATCGTCCATTATAATTATCCTACCAAGTCCCTCAGTCCTTTTGCATGTTCCCTTTTCAAGGTGTAATCAGTTACATCCATTTCAACAATCTTTGTGTTCGTAAGGAGAAAGAGGAAAAGAAAAGAACATGATGAAGATCAGAGGTTCAGGGTTTAAAGAACTCAATAAGAGAAATGCAAGGTACCTTCTGCCTGTTGGAAGAAGTAGCATGCTGTACACCAAAGGCCACAATCCCATTATATACCAAAGGGATACAAGAACGTCATTCATCCTAAAGCCATCATCTCCCTTGAAATTCAGGAGCTTTTTTAAAAAATACAAGTCTCTTGACTGCAAATAGTTCATAATCCATATTAAGTTACATAATTCCGATGTTAAATTGATTAAGAATTTCTAATTTGAAATCAAATTAACCAAAAAAAAAAAAAAAACCAACAAAGGCATTCAAAAAAAAAAAAAGGGAAAAACCAAAGTTGGATTTAGAAATTACCGGGGTCTGGTTAGGTGCGAGATTGAAAACATAGTACATGAGAGCACTCCACAACACGAAAAGCAAAATCGAGGTTGTCCAGTCTCTTCCTTCTTTACCCTTAACAGAAGACTCCTTATTCTGACCTGTTTCTTCCTCCGAATTCTGGGTGTTTAAGGTACTTTGACATATTTGAAGAACGCCCTTTTGCTGAAATGAGAAAGTTAAGGCGTTTTGATTGTGGGGTGCAAGGAATACTGAGCATTTAGAGGTTCTTTTGGAAAGTAAAAGACTTTGTTGGCTAAGGTTTCTAGCCTGGATTGAAGTTCTGAACTTTGTTGAAGAGTTTTGACGCAAGTAAGAGAAGTTGCAACAGATGAGATTGGTGCTTGCCAACATCGTGAAATTCTTTTAAGGATATTACATAAAACTGAAAGATGATGCTTTTACAAGCCTTAAAAAGTGAGCTTGGACATGTCAAATCACATGGAATAAAGAGCAGACGGGAACTGTCTCAGGCTAGCACTTTGATGCGGCTTAGAAAAAGACAAGTGGATCAAAAACGTTGCGGTTTAGACTATGTTTGGCGTTTTTTATGTGGCGTTTAAACCAAGGTTTAAAAATTTTAAAATAGCTAGTTTTATAAATTTCATCATGTTCTATGAGTCGAAGTTGTTTGAGCTTTTTTTTTGAAATAATATAAGTTTTTCTCATAATACTTTTAAGAAAAATCATTTCTTTTAGAACAAGTTTTGTTGAATAAAATTCAGATTTTATAGAAGCTTAATCTTAATTAGATGAAGCTTCATTAATCATAAAAATATATTCATTATCAAAAATATTTGAATCAATTTCTGAAAAGATTTCATAAATGATATATTCAAGATTTAATAATTCTTCTGCATAGACTACACAAAGCTCTTGTTGTTCAAGAGTTTTGATCATATTTTTAGCATTCGTCTTTTATTAAAACAATTAGGTGCTATACGGCCTTTTTTTTTTATCACAAATGAAGCATTTACATTTTGTTTTGTCTTTTTGCTGTGATTTATTTTGGCCCTTTTTCATTTTTACAACATATTTCCTTTTTGGTTGAATATGTTGTTTATATGGTCTCCATTTTCTCATGAAATAACATTTTTTTTTAAAACATTTTCTAAATTTTGATTGTTGATTACAACCAAAATTTAATTCATCATTCTACTTCTTAGAGTATCATATAGTTGTATGCTAGGATTTGTAAGAGAAGATTTATTAAGCTTTGATTTTAGAAAAATATAATAATTTTGAGCATATAATTCATCCTATGGTGAGGGAAGTTTATGAAAATATTATTCTAACCAAAACTTTAAATGTTCTTTATCAATTGTTGGTATTCAGAAAGATATTTTTTAAAAAATTCATCTAGGTTTAGGATATTACAAAGTTTGAGTTTTGAAAGAATATATTGAGCTTCGTCTATAGCATCAATTTCTTCCATCATCCCACACATTTCATTTTTTATGATTTGTGTAAGAAGTTTTAAATGACCTGAAATAGTAGTAGAATTAAAAAGTTTTGCTTTTTAAGATTTTTCTAATTTTGTAGTTTCCTATTTTTTGAAAAACTTAATAGCATCACCTTGCCAAGTGCCATACAAATAGTTTAAAAATCTTTCTTTATTCCATATGTCTTTATAGTCGGTTACTACAATAGATATTGATTGTGCCCATTCATTAATGGTTTTTTCATATTCAAAGTGGGACTGTTGACAAATCTAAATAAGTTCCTCATTAGGCTACAGTTCGTTTATTTAACAAATTCATATTTGTGGAAGAAGGTTGTTGTTGAGTTTGGCTTGTTTGACCTTGTTCAACTGTTGAAGTTTGTTTTATTTCCTTTTTTTTAGGGAAATAATTAGGATCAACCGGATGTGTTTCAATTGGTTGATATTTTTCTAGGTTTTTTGTAAAATTAAGGAATCTTAAAAGATCATCAGTTTTTGGGTTAGAAACGTTTCTTAGATTTCTTTTTCCTCTATCCATTGGTTATGGTAAAGGTTTTGTTTCTTCATAAGATGTTTCTTTATTAGATGAATATGAAGAAATTTCAGTTATTGAGTTAGTAGCTAAAATTTTCAAGTTATCAACTACAGCTTCTTTTTCACTTCTTTCACTGATTGTATCATAGTTAAGCATGTAATGATAATTATATTATTAAAAAAAAATTTATGTTCTTCATAAAATTTTTCTATTTCTTGTAAATATTTTGCCCTTTGTTTTGAGTCATTCATCTTCATTTTGAAATTTTCAATAATATATTTATAAGATTTGAAGTCCATTTTTCTTTTTACAGAGGTCCTTGAAGATGAGGGTTTGTTTTGCAATGTCATTATGGTATTTCCATAATACAAAAGTCCTCACTCATGATATGAGTTGTTTGTATGAACTATTTGGGCTTCCAAATCTATTTTTTCTAATTTTTCTTCAATATTTTCAACTTTTAGTAATAATTTTTAAAAAAAGAGGTAGAAAGATCAACTAAACCATTTAAAGTTCTACTTATAGCTATATTATGAGATTCATAAGATGGGTCTATATGTAAGATGTGATTATAAGGTTTTTCTGAAACAACACAAGTATTTTCTTCATGTTTTTCCATATTTTAGGTACTTAAAACTTGGGTTTAGATTTTTAAAGGTTTCTTTAAAGCCAATTAACCAAAGGTAAACAAAGCCTATAAATATCAACAACAAAATCACAAAATCCAAAGTATGAGCTTTAAAATATGAAAGAAATGTAAGAAATAAAGTAGAGTTCAGAGAAACTTACACTTAAGTTACACAAGATCTCGTAATATATTATACAACATGCACACTAGATATATAGTGAAAAAATATCTGATGATACAATTGCTAATGATTCTAAATAAGGATCAATAAAAATCTCTATTTTCTCAACAAAAAATAAATCATTTTTCACAAAAATATCTCAAAATCAAATATGTTCATCTTGGACTTATTATGATTACAATAAAACCTCTTCATATTTCTGGCAAGGATATACCCATTTTGCAGTTTTAATGGATTAAAGATTTTCAAATCTAGTCAATACAGTAATTGAAAGAATCCAATCCAATTTAGCATCTAGTATAGTTGCTTTTAAAGTAAAACCAAATTATTTTTTATCAATTTTTTATCCTTTAATAGAGCAGAGTCTTTGTCTACATATCAAAACACAAAATTCTTGATATAAATGATAGATCTCATGAGCTTTCCATAAATTAGACAGTAATATATGAATTTACAAATACCACTTCTGTATCTATCAAAAAGATAGATCTAAAGTTGATCAAAATTTTTAAACCACAAAAATTCGAATCCAAAATCAAACCAAAATTTATGGATATATGAGACTTATCCATCCCTACTACCTGCTTATTACCCAACCTGAAAGATGATGAAGAAATTCAAAACCAATCTAGTTCTATAGAATTATTTTCATTAGGCAAAAATCTATATTTTAAAAACACCAGCAGTTACAGTCTAAATCATGGATTAGTATTACCTCCATCATTATCTTATGATGAAGAAAATGATATAGAAAGTCTAAATAGTCAGACATCCTTTGCTACTTCTTACAGAACCTCTTTTTCTAGTTTCAAACAAATTGTACAACTAGTACTCAAATTCTTATTTGTCTAAGAGATAATCAATCTTAACCATCAAATTATCAAACCGTCAATTCTGTAACTTCTTCTAGAAAAACTAGAATAGAAGAATAAAATCTTTAGTCTTGAAAATTGATTTTATCAGTTTCAGCAATAAAAAAACAACAAGCTTTTTTACTTTTATTGAAGGAAATTTTCGATTTCAAAACTATAAAACCATATTCCCTTCATATCCCATTAGAAGCAAGAGCAACAATCTCTAGTTGCCGAAGCAATGCGTTACCATAAAATAAATGGGAACCAATGAAACATCCAATTATAGTAGTTGGAATAGAGGGTAAAAAAAGCTCTTATAGGTTACAAAGCAAAAAATATTCCAATTTATTTCAACAATACTAAATTTATTATTCCCAAAATATTATGCTTTCCCCATATGCATGGAGTATGTTATTAGGAAACAACTTTTTTGTAAAATATTTACCTTTCTATATTTATCTTGATATTATTTTCTTACAATGGATAATCAATCTATTAAAATAGATTTGGTAAAAGAACCACAAAATATTTGTGATAAAAATTTTTAACCAGAATCTTTACAATCACAAATCAAAATAATCAATGAAAAACACTAGTTATATACTATTTTAAAAGAAATTTTTTCAAAAGAACCTTTAAAACTATAGGAAAAAAGTCATCGTTTTTATTCTCTTAAACTTATTGATCCACAAAGAGAATAAAAACGATGACTTTTTTCCTATAGTTTTAAAGGTTTTTCTGAGAATTTTTTTTTTAAATAGTATATAACCAGTGTTTTTCATTGATTATTTTGATTTGTGATTGTAAAGATTTTGGTTGAAAATTTTTATCACAAATATTTTGTGGTTCTTTTACCAAATCTATTTTAATAGATTGATTATCCATTGTAAGAAAATAATATCAAGATAAATATAAAAGATAAATATTTTATAAAAAAGTTATTTCTTAATAATATATCTCCATGCGTACGGGCAAAATATAATATATTGGGAATAATAAATTTAATATTGTTAAAATAAACTAGAGTAGTTTTTGCCTTGTAACCTATAAGGTTTCTTTATCCTTTATTCCAACTACTATGATTGGATGTTTCATTGGTTTCATTTGTTTAATGGTAATGCATTGCTTGGTAATTGGAGATTGTTGCTCTTATGTCTAATAGAATATAAAGAGAATATGGTTTATAGTTTTGAAATAAAAAATTTCCATCAATTAAAGTGAAAAAGCTGGTTGCTTTTTTATCGCTGAAACTGATAAAATCAATTTTCAAGACTAAAGATTTTGTTTCTTTTATTCTAGTTTTTTTAGAAGAAGTTACAGAATTCAGAACAGAATTAGCAGTTTGATAATTTGATGATTGTGATTGATTATCTCATGAAAAAATAGGAATTTGAGTACTGGTTTTACAGTTTGTTTGAAAACCAGAAAAAGAGTTTCTGTAAAGAGTAGCAAAGGATGTTTGACTCTTTAGACAAGTGGAATTTGGAAGGAAAGCAAAGGAAAATAAAGAAAATTAAAGTGCAAAAACTAGGAAAACGTCATCGTTTGGAGAAAGTTAAAACTTAAAACCGCCCTAAAATTGATCAACTGTCAAAAACGGGCAAAGTCCAATCATAGCCTCTCGCTTGGGATTCTCTTCTTTCCTTCGCCTTCTTTTATCAGATAAGGTAATCTCCTTCTCAGTTCCTAGCCATGGCGGAAGCTTTTAGAATCTTCCACGCTACGTTCCTCCCAACGTTCTCTCCACAACTCAGCAAGCCACCTTACTCTCACAGTTACCCTTCACTTTGTCTAAAGAAAGTACGTCCAATTCAATGCTCAGTTTCTACGAGCGAAACCAAACCCACGTCGTCGAATGCGACCCAGGAAGTGCCTTGGGGTTGCGATATCGATTCCTTGGAGAACGCTGAGGCTCTTCAAAAATGGCTGTCGGATTCAGGCTTGCCTCCGCAGAAGATGGCGATAGACAAAGTAGAAGTAGGGGAGAGAGGATTGGTTGCTTTGAAGAATATCAGGAAGGGTGAGAAGCTTCTCTTTGTGCCTCCCTCGCTTTTCATCACTGCAGATTCAGTAAGTTATTAGTACTATTGTTGTTTTTCCCTGATCATTTTTAATGTTATTATATCTGGGTTTGGTAGTTTTTGAGTTAAATATGCAATCAAGATCTATGCTTTGAAGTTTGAAACATGGATCGTTTGATAAGGACTTCAATTGGTTTAAATTTAAACATAGGAGCACTTTAATTGGTTTGAACATTATAATTCTTCTTTAATTTTAGCTACTAGGTGCTGCTGTGTATGCAGGAGTGGAGTTCCCCTGAGGCTGGTCAAGTATTAAAACAGTATTCTGTCCCAGATTGGCCATTGCTAGCGACCTATCTTATTAGTGAAGCAAGTCTCCAGAAATCTTCGAGATGGAGCAATTACATATCCGCCCTTCCCCAACAGCCCTATTCACTTTTGTACTGGTGAGTTGGTGTTCCTTCGTTACTTTTTCACATGGTAGAGCTCTTAAGAATTTTACCTTGTCGCAGAAAGGGTCTACTCTCAAATTTTCCCTCTACAGCCTCTCTGTATCGTTTCAGGACACGTGCAGAACTAGACAGGTATCTGGAAGCATCACAGATAAGGCAGCGGGCTATTGAAAGAGTTACTGACGTTATTGGAACGTATGGCTCTCTACCATTACTCTTGTTTCCAAGCTTAATTCCTGTTTCATATTAGGTTATTGGTTTATATTCTCATATTACTGCTGACATAGTTTTGACTATACAATGTTTTAATTTGCGTTTGATCATTTGTTGTCATGTTCCATGTAGATACAATGATTTAAGACTCAGGATATTTTCCAAGTATCCTGATTTATTCCCTGAAAAGGTACTTTTCTTTAATGCATAAGTACTTTTCTGCTATTTTAGCGTAGTTTGAAGCATTCATCTAATGATCTGCTTCTGATGCTACCACCCTATAAAGCTTACGTAATAAGACACATGGAACATCTTTATGTGTAGATGATAGCATTTGTTTTAAGTTCGACCAGTAGGGAAATATTAGTTTGCATTATCCAACATTTTGTACACAAGCAAAATTAGTAAGGGAAACATATGTTTTCAGTAAGTTTCAAATTTATTTGTATTTATATAGTATTATGAACCTTTCTTTGCAAATATCCTGCATTCTTTAAATTTAGATTTTAGACCAAGAAGGAAAGATGTTGGCATTCAACTCTGATGCATTGCATCTGAATTTCCAATATTGTGTTTACATCCTGTGGCTGTTAGATCATGAAAGTGCCTTCTTCTTATTTTGCACTATAAATGATTTGCAGGTATTTAATATCGAGACATTCAGATGGTCCTTTGGCATTCTTTTCTCTCGATTGGTAAGCTTACCTAGAAATTTTATAATGGATGTTGACCTGATTGACTGTGTTTATCAATTCAAAACATAGCTGGGTTTTTGGACAAGTTATTTTCCAGAAGATTTGAATAATTTGTTTTGAAGTATAAATTGATCCCACAATGCATTCTAGGAATTAAGTCATTTCTCAAAGTAAGAAAGTTTTTTATTTTTTATTTTGTGTTTTTCTTATCACTCTCAACTTTTATAAATCCTTTACCTGGTCACTTGGAAAATAATTACTCATGCAAGTAGCAATGTTAAAAAGATTGAGTGGCCTAGAATTTTTGAATAGAATAAATTACATGAAATTATATATCTCTCCCACAAAATTTAACCAAAGAGGGAAATAAATTGCTGTACTTTTCAAGTTTCCTTTGATACCACTTATATATGTGACTTTATTTTGTACAATTTTGTGTAGTAAATGTTCTGTAAGGTTTAGCACTAAGTACAAAAGAGGATGGTTGATTTAGAAGAATGGAAAAGTTAAAATCTTCATTTTGCTGTTAAACACAGGTAAGGCTACCTTCAATGGATGGAAAGGTTGCCTTGGTTCCTTGGGCTGATATGCTTAACCATAGCTGTGAGGTATAGAGAGATCTTTCTCTATTAAGGATGCATACAAGATATGTAATTAATCTAAGTACCTTCACTTCTCTTTCTCTGGTTAAGGTGGAAACATTTTTGGATTATGACAAATCATCACAGGGGGTTTTCTTTACAACAGATCGTGCATATCAGCCAGGTGAGCAGGTAAATGAGATTCTGCTATAATATATAAATATATTATATATTCTTTGATCACAAAGATCATAGAGGGTTGGAGCAATAATAAATCGCTGAAAGCTTTTATGTTTAAAGCTTTTCTTCTATGATTATATAGGTTAAGGGAGAGAAATGTACCCAGTACATGGAACTTAGATTCTTATTTGGTTTTGTGACTAATGATTTTCTTTAAAAGATTAATCACTTTTTCCAAGAAAGCAGGCTGCTAAAGTAATTCAGATTTGGAGCTTCGTGAGATTTATTCAGGGGAATGTACAATTAATGTCTTTAACAGGAAGAAAATACTTGCCTATAAATGCATATGCATGATATATGTCCCTGTTATGTATAAGCATAAATGCATGTAGCCACTTCTGTGCACATGCACATGATGGTCTACACGAACGAACAATATATGTGTATCCATACCTATATTCGTCTATACTTGGATACTTTATAAATTATATAAATCAGCTTCTTAATGATCAGACTGTCAGTTCTAACCTGTTGTAAGCATTGACAACTTCAAATTTGGAGTTTGGACTAACAATATCATGTTAGTTGCAAAGTTTGAATTGTCTTACAGATGGCTTATATCATTTTATGCAGGTTTTCATATCATATGGAAAAAAATCTAATGGAGAGCTGTTGTTATCTTATGGATTTGTTCCAAAGGAGGGTACAAATCCTAGTGATTCAGTAGAGCTACCTCTAACCCTTAAAAAATCTGACAAATGTTATAAGGAGAAATTGGAAGCTTTGAGGAAGCATGGATTGTCTGCGTAAGCTGGATAAATGTTTTTTTCCTCATCTTTTTTATTTTATTTTGTTTTGTTTTAATTGTCCTAGATTTTTGGGTTTGATTCATTGAGGAGTTAATATTATTCCATGTCTTATCTAAATAGTTAAATATCTTGGTAATCATATGTTTATCTTTTGAAGAAGCTTAATGCCCAAACATTAGTTATGATTTGTGCTTCCTTCGTTATCTATATTTAATTTTTTTTCTTGCATTTTAATTTCTTATTTTTCAACATGTGAACCTTTTCTGGCAGTTCTCAATGTTATCCTATACAAATCACTGGTTGGCCATTGGAGTTAATGGCATATGCTTACCTGGCAGTCAGCCCCCAAGCATGAGCCGGCAGTTTGAAGAGGTTTGAGAACTTTACCTTCTAAATCACAGACTAAAATTTGCATTATTGAATTCTTAAAGGTTGCTTCTTCAGATGGCTGCTGCAGCATCAAATAACTCTGCTACCAAGAAGGATTTAAGATACCCTGAAATTGAAGAAAAAACACTGCAATTTATTCTCGATAGTTGTGAATCAAGCATATCAAAGTACTCCAAATTCTTGCAGGTGAAGAAGGAACCATCTTTTTTGACACCTTGAAAAACTGTAAATGGAAGAAATTACCATAACACCGAAAAACTCTTTATTAGATAGGACTGAAGTCTGAATTAGGCCTGGTCTTTAAAAAACTTCCAAGTCAGTGTGTAAATCTTTTTAATTTTTTTATAGGTAAGTGGCTCCATGGATTTGGACGTGACATCTCCAAAGCAACTGAATCGAAGAGTGTTTCTGAAACAGCTAGCAGTAGATTTATGTACAAGTGAGCAGAGAATTCTATTCCGCTCTCAATACGTAAGACTACACCTCCATTGCTTTTTCAAATTTCTTTTTAAGGTGTTTACCTAAGCTTCCCAATCGACCTAATGCTTCTGCTTCATTCTGCATATGTGAATGGTTCCAGATACTGAGGAGGAGATTGAGGGATATGAGGAGTGGTGAATTGAGAGCTTTAAGAATCTTCAATGGATTGCGAAACATTTTTAAATAAAGATTTTCTTCATGTAGCCTCCTGTTCTTGGTTTTTGAGATGCGCTGAGTTTATATCTGGTGTTGTTTCTAAACTCAACCCTTGAGAAATTCAAGCGAGTCTAGGTACTTAACAGAAATTCTGTCATGTTCAATGTAAAAAAAAAAAAAAGTCCATTTAGGCAACTATTCTTGAGTTGCTTATTTATCAGCAAAATTTCTTTGTAACGTTTGTATGAAAATACAGCAGCAGCATGGTGCATTAGAGCTTGATCCTCAATTTCACTGGTTGATTAGGTAAAGCCTATCACCACAGTAAAAGGGCCTTTGTTTGTGACTTCCAAGTGTTTCATAGGACCGAAAATGTGGAGCCAATCTGTTTAATCAAAGTTGGTGTTGAGTCAAGCAGAGAGTATCTATAACAGTTAAGAAAATGACAGGATCGAATTTTTGGGAATAGAGAATTAAGATTTATGAGATAAGAAAGAATTACCTCTCCTATATAATCAGATAACTTATACGAACTAATAAAAAATTTTAATAAAAAATTTCATCTTTTGCTGACTCAGAAGTAAACATCTAATCATAAAGCATTTCTTCTGATATGATAAAAATCTTTCAAATCGAAATCTCAAAATGAATCATTAAAAATCCATCATCCATTATAATAATACATTACAATTGAATACTTTCACTAATTTTATTATTTACATATTAAAAATGACTAGTACTAACATATATATATATATATAAATTTTGTTAATTTGTTGGTTAAACTACAGAAATTAATTATTGGATTAACAAATTTTTTATTATTATATATTTCCATCATTCCAATTAATGGATCAGGGCGTCGGGTTTTCACTCTCTTTGCCTATATCAAAAATTCAAAAATTTCAAAATTCGAAAAAAAATCCATAAAAAAAAAGAAGATAGAACAAGGAAAAAATTCCAATTTTCTCACACTACAATCCACCGCACCATATCACCGCCGCTTCCCAAGTCCAAAACCTACCGTTTAAAAATACAAGGCCGAAAGGCAAAGCTAAGGCTTTTCCATTTACGAAAATGGAGGGATTGGTTTCTCTGAAAACAACCCCAAGAATTTCCTTTCGATCAATTCCTTCCTTTAATAACTGACCTAATTTCTTCCTCAGACACTCCTTATTGTACCTTCCTCTCCCTCGCTCCAATGTTCCGGCCATTCGAGCCCAGCAGGTTGTCAATAATGATATAAATAACAAATATTAAATTTTATATTTTTAATTGATTTTTTTTTCAAAATTTTGTGTAGTCGGAAACTATATCTCCGAAAAAGGAAGAGAAGGAAGATGCCTTGAAACTAAAGGAATGGGAAGTTGGAATGTTCCAAAACGAAGTCGCAGCGAGTCAAGGGATTAGAATACGGCGACGGCCACCGACGGGTCCGCCGTTGCATTACGTGGGTCCCTTCGAGTTCCGTTTGCAGAGCGAGGGTAACACTTCTCGTAACATTCTTGAAGAAATCATTTGGCACAAAGATATGGAAGTTTCCCAAGTAATTTTACAATTTTAATTTATTTTAAATTTATTTACTTTTTTCCTTTTTTTTCTTATATAACTATTTGGTGATAATGATTTTTGGGTTTTGCAGATGAAGGATAAGAAGCCTTTGGCTGCGTTGAAGAAGGTTATCGAGAATGCGCCCCCCGGCTAGAGATTTCGTTGGTGCTCTTAAGGCGGCGCATTCGCGGACTGGGTTGCCTGGTTTAATTGCTGAAGTTAAGAAGGCTTCGCCTAGCAGAGGAATTCTCAGAGAGAATTTTGATCCAGTTAAGGATTTTTTTTCTTTTAGTAAATAAGAATTGAAAAGCAATTATTTTACTCATGATTGAAAGGAAATTATCCTATTATGAGTGTTAAAAAGTTAGCTTCCTTTTTGTTCTATAAACAGTTACGTAGTTAGAACGTTAACATGTATTTATTTAATAATTTATTTATTTATTAATTTTCATAAATATATCCAATAAGACGATATCAATTCTCTAACTGATGAAATTCTCACCAAAAATTTCAATACAAAAAGTCGGACTGGATTTGTCATAAAATTGAGATTCTTCCACAAATAAGGTTTTAGGGTTGATAAATGTCCCATTAGGTATCATTTTGAAGATCCATAAGCAAGGTAAGAGGATTGCTTAATGCCCCATTACTTATATTTATGAAAATTAATAAATAAATAAATTATTAAATTAACATGTGTTAACTTTCTACCTCCACCGCCTTTCATAGAATAATAATTCAAGTAATATATCCTAAAAGATTAAGATTTTCTTCTTAAAATTATGGCAAGGAGGAAAATTTCAAATTTTAGATTATGTTTCTATCCAGGTAAAACCTTCAAGAAAGAGTGAACTAAAAGAACAATGTCTTTTTTATCTATAATTTTTTTTTATTTATTACTAAGTAATTTGTCATATAAAAATAACTCACGATAGGTTGAGGTTGCAAAAGCTTATGAGAAGGGTGGAGCCGCTTGTCTCAGTGTTTTGACTGATGAAAAGTATTTTATGGTAAACATGATCATTTTTACTTTTGTTTTTGAAGATTTTGTGTTCAATTGTTTGGTCTGTATATTAATGCTCTGACTTGCTTTTTATCCTCCCAGGGAAGCTTTGAAAATTTGGAGGCAATAAGAAATGCTGGAGTAAAGGTCAGTTATATAATTCATTTTGTTACTCATCTATAATCTTGATTTTACTCTTGTATATATACATGGTAAATCGGTACAAATCTTGCCTTCATAATGAATGCAGTGCCCTCTACCGTGCAAAGAATTTGTGATAGATGCATGGCAGATCTATTATGCTCAAATCAAAGGAGCAGATGCAATACTTTTAATTGCTGCTGTTTTGCCTGATCTTGACATCAGATACATGATTAAAATCTGCAAGATGCTTGGTTTGGCAGCACTTGTAGAGGCTAGACAGAGCCTTCTTCGTTATTATTATTGTTCCATTACTCTTGAATTGTCGAGGTGTTTTAGGATCATGAAACTTATTTCACTTGGGAGTAGAATTTCCATGATTATTGAGCATTTTGATGCCATTTTTTTTTTGTTTCAATTGGGAGAGCATATTTGAGTCTTTTATGAGTTATATAATTGAATCCATGGCTTCATAACAATCTTCTATCAATTGGTATTATTAAATTTTCATATGTGGATATTTCTTTCCAATATTCATATGCTTTATTGTTGCTTCCAATTTCTTTAGGTGCATGATGAGAGGGAAATGGATCGTGTTCTTGGTATAGAGGGGATTGAACTTATTGGTATCAATAATCGTAACCTTGGTAAGGTTTTGCATGTTTTTGCAATTGCTAATTGAGTTGCCTCCATGAAATTTCTGATCCTTGTAGGTAACCTTATCTCCACCTTATAGACTGCATTCAATATGTATGAGGCATTAATAATTTCCCCCTTTGCTTGTTTTCAGAAACGTTTGAGGTAGATATCAGTAACACAAAGAAGCTTCTCGAAGGATGAGGTAGATATCAGTAGCACAAAGAAGCTTTTCGAAGGAAAGCGTGGCCAAATGATCCATCAGGAAGATATAATTGTAAGTGAGCCTTCACGATATTCATTTCTATGTAAGATAAAGTCAGTGTGCATGTCCATGCAACTTATATATATATATCATAATAAATTGTTTAAATACTCTATTGTTAACTTTAACACATCAGGTTTTCGGGGAATCTGGGCTGTTTACTCCAGATGATGTTGCTTATGTGCAAGAAGCTGGTGTTAAAGCAGTAAGTTACACAAGTTCTGAGCATATTGCATTCTTTGTTTGATATTAAAAGCTGTTTTTCTTTCTTGGCGAGTTTTAATACAGCAAGAGAGTAATTTTTTTTTCTGTTGTATGTTATGTTAGATAAGTGTAGAAGTAATTACATATAAGATCCTTTTGGTATGGGGTGGGACTTGGGAGTAATACTGAGTTACTTTTTACAAATAGAAGTATAACCAACCAGGTGAAGACAATATGTCATCCAAAGGAAGTTGAAGAATTGTATCAACATCTATGAAATGCATCCTCTGTGCATATTGGACACTTATAGAGAGCACTGTTGTTCCATGACAGGTTTTGGTTGGGGAGTCGATAGTGAAGCAAAGCGACGCAGGAAAAGGAATAACTGGACTTTTTGGTAAAGACATTTCTTCCTAAGTAGACTCTGGGGACGGCTGCATTCATGCTGGTGTTGTATCATTTACTTTCCGGCATCATTCCCTTATTATTATTATGTAAGATATGATTTGGAAACGAGATTTAACATGCCCTTTAAAAGGCATTTACATACTCCATCAATGGAAAATTTCTAATACATTTTTGTAATTCGATTTTGAATAGAAAAATTATTTGAATCGGAGATACGTACATTTAACAAGTACCCATATGCAGCATATCTGTACTTCAAAATTTAACTATCAAAATTTAATATGTAATTCTAAGCATATTTACTTTTTATTTTTATTTTTTTGTTTTGCTTCCTAAAAATTGAAAGCAAAAGCATTTTTTTTAAATAAATAAATAAAAAAAGAGGGATACCCTTCTATTTTATAATAATTTGAGGAAGATTCTAGAGTCTGAATCAATAAATCTCTTTTACTAAATCGAGGCTGTTTTTCGGTTTTGAGACAGATATTAAAAACTTGGTTTTTTAAGGCTCCAAATCTCAAATAAGAAACCTTTGGAATCCTTTTCCTGCAAGAATTCAAAAACCCAACAAAAAGGGAAGGCCCACGACGACAAAAAGGGAAAGGAAAAACAGAAGCGTTTTCTGTACACCAATGTCGAGTTCCGGCTACGACAACTCCTCGGACGAGGCGGAGAAAGGCTACGACATGGAGTTCCGATCGTACCCAGACGACGCCTGGTATAGTGTTCGAGTATTGTTAGAGGGAGAGTTTGGTGACAAGCTGAGAGTCAAGTACGACAATTTCCCCGACGACCACGACAACGTTTTCCTCGCCGAAAGCTTCAAGTCCGAGGACGAGCTTTACGACTTCATAGGAAGGTTTCGTAAGGTCTCGGACCAGCTCCAGGATGCGGAATGCCACAAGGTCGTCAAAGGCATGCGCGTTTGTGCTTCCGATTCTTTCGGCAACGACGAAACTCTCTTTTACGACGCCATTGTCGATGATGTCCGTACAACTCATTTGCCCGTACAACTCATTTGCTTAGACCTTTTCAAACTTCTCATGCGTTTATTGATATGGGTTTTCATTTTTTTTTTTTGTTTTTATTCTTTTAAAAAATTCTGCTACATTGTTATTATTATCTTGTATTTTGTTCTTAGATTTGATGGGAAATAAAGGTAACTAAGATAGTTAGAGTTTATTTAATTTTCATTATTAAGAGGTAAAACCGTAAAAACTATTATGTAACACATTTTAGTTGTTCTAAGTTGTGATTTGAAATAAAGATCTTGCATGGTTGCATTTTTGCCTCTGATATTACTTCATTGTGATGAAACTATTAAAAGGCTTCATTTTTTTTGGGTTTTTTTTTTTTTACTTATTTATTTGCTTTTTACTCCTATAAAGTAGGAAATTTAGTTATTTAATATTAAAAGAGTAAAATCATTCATTTTTCTGTTGATAAAGGTTAAATTTGTTATTGTTTATTCTTGGAAATGTTGTTGCTTTTTTATTGGCATTTAGCAGAAATTAGTTAAAAGAGTAAAATTTAGTTATTCAATGTTAAAAGAGTAAAATCATTCATTTTACTGTTGAAAGAGGTTAAATTTGTTATTGTTTATTCTTGGAAATCTTGTTGCTTTTGTTTTGGCATTTGGCAGACTCCCTTCTCGATGCATTGAAGAGTAGGTTCATGCTCATATACTTTATTATGTATAAAGATCTATGCTGAGTGCTTATTTTTACTGGGAAAGTGGGCTATATTTTCAGGTGCTGCATAAGAAGCATTCTATTGTAAATGGACAAGAAGAGTGTGAGTGCCCCTTCCTACTCTTTTGGCTACATGGTCCTAATGTTGGGAATGTAACAAACAAGGGGGTTGCAAATATATGCCTTCTTCAGGATTCAAAGTTACAACCAATACTTGCATCTTTCATGGAGATAGCATTGCAGAAAATAGAGAAAGCCTCACATAAATCTGTTTCTGGCACTAGTTTTACTGGGGGATTGAGACAGGTAACTTCTTTTGTTTGTGATCTTTTAGAGTTTCTTTTGTCTAAGCCTATTGCAGTAGAAGATAACTGCTGCTATGTCTGCCTTTTTGTAGAGAAAGTGTGCTTGGCAGTCTATAAGTAAACTGTGGCCATCTGAAGGTTTGTCCTTATTTTATATTGCAACAAATATTCAATTTAAATCAATAAATATTCTTTGTTGTAATTGCGGGTTTTGCTTGCGACTGTTATAGGAGGGACAGAAGTTCATTGTGAAAATAGACAGGATACTGATGTAGGAGGGGATAAAAACTTTTACATAATATTAGTTCAGAATCTTGAAAAGGAATTGTCCTCAGCAGCAGTTTCTGAGTTCATCCATAAACAAACTTCCATTGCAGTGCAAGTATATATTTTCCCAAGTTTACCATGGGAGCCATACACCAATGGTGTCATTATGTTGGATTGCAAAAAAGATCTCGAACAGTTGTTTGGCTTTTTGCATAATCCTAATCATTTGATTGTATCCTTGAATGGGAGGTAAGTGATAACATATGCATGGTTGTGTTGCCTTTGTAGCATTATAACTTTATACTAGACAGAAATATAGTTTCATTAACCAGTGATTCTATCATCTTGTTTGTGCTATAATTAAACTCATCAACATTTTCTTGTTGGTTATTGGCACATTTATTGAGCTTGCACTTTCAATTTCTCTTTTCTAATTTTCCTAAATTGGATTTGCATAATCCATTCTGATGGTAATTAACTTATTGACTTTTTTTTTCTTTTTTTTCATTCTCTGGCTACCTTTTTTCCAAGTTTGTCTTCTTCGGAAATAATTTTACTCAAGTTGGTTTTTTGTCAAGATCTCTTTTTAGTTGCATGCCTTGGGAAGTGATACAATAATGTCAATTTAGCTTTACATTAAGCCAAACTGTGTTTCAGTTTTTCTGAATTGTTATACTTTAGATTTGTTCTCAGATCATCCCTTCATATCACTGCAGGCCATGGGTAGCGACTGAAAAAATGTCAATGAATGATCATTGGACCTCAATGCTTGAATCTCCTGTAAGTCCTATACATGTGTATTAATTCTATTTTTATCAGAATGAAAGGTTCAAAGACAGTCATGCATGCCCCATAAAACTGGAATCTTACTAGCATTTAAACCTCAATGCCTTTCAAACTATCCAGTTTCAAACGTACGAATAGTTGATTCAAGCATATTTACATTTTACAGAACAAATTACTCAACAGAAGAGGTGGTGGATTTAGCAATGAATTGAAGGTTGTTTGTTCTGGGACTGAGGAATACAAGAAAGCCAAGGAGCTAAGGGATTTATTTTTGCAGTTTATTGATCATGTAAAGGGACTTTACATGAAGCTACGCATGGAAGAGAGAAGTATCTCATAGCCTTGTCTAGCAGTTAACTACTGCAGCCTTAAGATACTGTGCATATTGAGTATCTCCGCATGAAGGTCATTAACTCTGTCATACAATGTTCATATGTTGTATAGGAAAGAAGAAAACATAGTCAATTAGCACTAAATGTGACTGAACAAAGAAAATATTGGTTTTATAGCCATCCTTGGGTCATTCAAGTTGTGCGGCTGACTACACTTAACAGATTTCATTTGGAAAGCTGAAACCTATGAATTTAATGGCAGTTGCTTTTGTAGCTATTCTGTCTAGTTTTAAAGTTGGGCATCGGTCATCATACAAAAGTTTTCTTTGGGCAATTTCACAAAGAACAGTTGAGTCTCTTCTAAGCAGGATGGATTACTTTGCTCTTTTTCTTTATCTTTTCATGTCCCTGTTTTTGTTCCTTTCTCACTTGGCAAATTCATTAGGTACAATCACAACACCACTGAAATTTTGTTATGATCAAACCCAATTCCTGCAGTTGACACTCAAGCACAACGCTTTCAGATCATGAGCCAGGGTGGTTCAAACTTATTTACTAGGTAATTTGAATTTAATCATCTTGTATATATGTTAAATTTATTTAAGCTTTAAACTTGATATATAAGTTTTAATTTATTTGATTCATGTAATCAGGAGATATTCAATAAATTTAAAGTTTAAATTTTAATATTTATAATTTTTTTTCTACCTTAAGCTATTACATCGTGTAGTATCTTAGCTTTATTTATTGTTTTCTCATCTAGCCTTTAATTTGAGATAGTAAATCAGTAATTTTCATGGTATCGGTGGACAATAGCAAAATTTCGGTTTCCTTCAATGGATATTTCGATTCTTTTGAAATGATGCAATTAAAAGATCAATAAATTTAAATAATTAAGTTTTATAAAAATGGAAAAAGCCTCAACCAATGAGAAGTGACACGATATCACCGGACAGACTTTTTTATTTTCCTCCAAAACACCCTTTTGAACGTTGGTGAGAGTTGATCTCTTCTGTTCTGTTCTTCCAATTTCTAAAACAGCAACAAAAATAAATAAATAAATAATAAAAATAAAACTAAACAGAACTCTTCGATTTAATTACATTTATTTTTGTTCAAATTTGTTAAAACTATATCACATTTTTAACAGAAAAGAACTCCTATGTATAATTCATTTTATTAAAATTTTCTTACTCTTATGGTTTGATCTTGTTTGTTACAAAGAACCTGCATGGATCTAAACCGTGGGTTCTTTTTTTATTTCTTAGAGATGGGGGAAAACGGGTGGAAGAGAAGCGTTGTGATTGCATGCATAGCAATGTGTTTGTTTCTATGGAGTTTAAAAGAAGCAGAAGGCATGGGATTCGTGATTGACGAGAAGAATGCTTATCTCATGACGTCAAGTTCGAAGGGGACACTGTCATGTCTCTTTCGTCGTCATTAAGGCTGATTCTCCTTGGCATTTTAGGGACGAAGGCGTCGATCTTGTGGTAACGTTTCTTTTTTTTCGTTTTTGCCTTGTCAAATTGTGAGCTTTTATCAGTTTTGAAACTATGGGATTTGACATTTGTTATATCAGATAGATTGGTTTTAGTGTTTGTTGTTCAATGTTCATTGTGTTGAAATATCAAATGAAAGTGCAACTATCTGTAGGAAGTTAAAAACAGACAATGTTATCAGAATAAGGGACCTTCTTCCAGCGATCAGATTAAGTACTAATTTGTCAACTATGTTAAGATTGTGAGATTAAGGGACCTTCCGGAGATCAGATTCATGATTTCCGTGACAAGATAAGTGAAAAATACGAGTTTGTTGTCCACAAGAAAGGGATTTACCATTTCTGCTTCTACAACAAATCCCCTTATCATGAAACCCTTGACTTTGATATACAAGTTGGGCATTTTGCATACAACAATCAGCATGCAAAGATGGTGAGTTAAATGTTCCGTTGCTTCCCTTTGTTCCCTTTTAAAAGGGGAAATATGATTACTTCCTTTCCAATGATGTATGCAGAGCATTTTGGTCCCTTGATGGAGCAGGTATCAAATTTGGAGGAAGCGCTTTACAACATCCAATTCGAACAGCATTGGATAGAGGCTCAGACTGATCGACAGGCAACAGGTAGCTTTGAAGAACTTATTTTTCTCTCTGTTTCAAATTTTTTTGTACTTCTTGCACCAGTGAAGAACTTGGACCTCTTTTCCATGGCCATTATTTTTGCTTTTCTTTTCCTTTCTTTTTTTTTCTTTTAAATGGCCATACATTTAGTTGTTTTATCTTGTCCCAAGTAAGAAACCATGCAAAACTTATTCAACTTTTGGTATAATTTGCTTCCAGTGACTGATAGCATGGGCCGACGAGCAATTCACGAGGCAATGTTTGAATCAGCAGCACTTATTGAGGCTAGCAGCCTTCAGGTTTACCTTTTGAAACGCTTATTCGAACGGAAACTTTGGAACATCCAGAGTTTAAACTGTTTAGACCTAATAGCTCCCATGTGGTGTTTGTTGATTTTGGAACACAAAGCTCCAAGTTTATCTCATCTGTGGTTTAACTAGCAGTTGTTTTGTACCTAACTTTACTGCGACTATGATGTTGTGTAGAAATGGTTTACAGAGAGTAATTCAAGGATCTGGCATTAGAGGCAAAAGTTGTTACTGAATGATAAACTATTGTATTCATTCTTTGTGTAAACATCAATAATTCAGTATTGATTTTTCAGCATAGTTATGCTCATTCGTTCCATTAATTTGTTCATTATCTTTCCTTTACAAATGTAAAATCCACAGCGGCTTTATCTGCTAAATGGAATCTAGGAATGTTGCACGAATGCGTTGCCAAGGCCTTATCTAACACACTTATTTCACAACTGCAGCAGAGAGAATCAATAATATAATGAATCTGTTAAACCCGACATAAATAATATATTGAAAGTACGGGAAGATAATTTTCCTGAATTCATTAATCAAACCCAACATAAATAAATCTGTTTAAATCGGCTCAAAAAAGAATTTATTGTATAAAACCCAAAGGCCCCTTATCACTAAATGGAAAAATGAACACTTACGGTTGTCATGAGATTCAGAGTGTTTTGAATATGTTAATGCATGATCTTATTAGCATCTGTCTGAGAAGCTTGAAGTCTAGCTTATGCTTGAAATTTGCAGTAGAATGAATTGCATCAGAATAGTTTGTATGCCAGTTTAGCAACTTTTGCAACAAGTATTGGGAGAGGTGGAATAAAATCTTTAACTGGTCTTACGAGCTAAGATCGGAACTGACTGAAGATACGAGTGAGCTTCATTTCGTATACATTATTATACATATGAAGGTATACACAAGAAAATCACATTAACTTAAAAGCAATACAGAATACAAATGTCATACACAAACAATAGTGTCAACCCATAACATATTTGAATAAAGGAAGGGGAGCAAAAAATGCAGTAACAACCCACGAGTGAACATAAACATAAAACTAACATTGTTCTCTCATCCCAAGCCCAGATCATCACCGAAGCTCAAACTAGCAAACAAACAGATTCCAGCACGACCTATCATAGCTTCTGACACAGCTCCAGTCATCTGGATCATTCGTAAGGGCTCGGTTTAGATAACTAATGCTTTCTTTTGGAAGCTCTTAAATACTGTAAGAGCCAACTCTTTACTCTGCATCAGCAGCTTTTATACAGCAAAACCATTTTTTCTGCTCCATTTCAGACCATCAAAAAATAAAAATCAATATTTTGAATCCCAAAATATCGTGAAACAATAGCAGCCCCACTGAAAGAGATAAAATTCAAACCCTTGCTCAAGGGGTTCCAGGAATTGAGAACAATAAGTTGCCAAAACAATACATTATTGGAGTAACAAGCTAGATACTTCTAATCAGCCTCAAAGAAATGATCAAAGAACAATCAAAGTATGTTAGCCTTCAAGGTGCTAACTTTCTTTTCTTTTCACTAAATGAAAACATACATGAAAAAAGGACGGACTGTCGCATTGCCAAATAACAAACATAAAAAGGTTAGAATAAAAAAAAATCAAAATAATAAATTTAATTGTGTTTTAGGGGTGAACAAAGTGCTCAAAGCCAAAAAAATAGAGGAATTTCCATGTGAATGGAATAAAAATAAGGCATAAGCAGGATTACTACTTACAGATTGGGGCTTTTCAAGAACAGCCCCTTGCTGTTCATTTTTCCCTGGCGACTCAACCTTGCCACCTGTCTTTTTCTCATTTCTAGCTTTGTTGAAGATAACAGTAAATCCCTCAGCTGATGAAGGGTCATTGACATCCCATTCACCAAACTTTGGCAATGGTCGACCCTTATCCTGTATGCCATAACAGCTCAGTTAAGGGATCCATCATCTCAAAGAAATTGGCCACAAATTGATGCATTCATGAAAATGATTCAACCATCTTAAATGCTAGAACCCCAGATCATGATGTTTGTCCATTCAGGAAAGGAATATGATAAAATAGGCTGGTTCATGAAGATGAACTTGACATGTAACAAAATAGACATAAAATTTCAAATAACTATTGCAAGCAATGAACATACCACTTATTCCTATAATCAAAACCGCATCGTAGAAATGAATCCCGGATAAACAGACATAATATCCGTTATCCAATATAGTTTAATATTTTTCAACAACAGTTATTATCTATTATTTTATCCCCGCATATAACTATTCTTTATAGTCCTAATACAGGCATACAGAGTGAAAAACAGAACATCCTTAAATTTACACTTTTAAATAAACATATCAAAGTCCCTACTGATGTCTGTAAGAGGACATTGGGTGGTTAGAGCTTAAGACTCCAACTGAGAGGTCCCAGATTTGAATCCCGAAAATAAGGGGATCTGACAAATGGGGTTGAATAGAGCTACTCTCTGTTATGTTCCAAAACTCAATGAGTCTCTATATGCAACAGAAATAAATAAAATCAAAGCCCTCACTGACTACCATTTCAGGTTTGCCCTTAGCTAAACCTCCAACATTATTAGAATTTTTAGGAAATACCTAGACAAATGAAAAGGAAAAATGATGACAACAAACCAATAAGCATAACTTTCATATCTAAATGCAATAATTTGTCAATAACGTAAGGAATAATAATAAATTTACCCAAGTCTGAATAATCATTGCTTAATAAAAAAAAAGTTACTAAATCTGAATAAGACATTGTAATTAACAATATTTAGACAGACAACAATCTGCCATACCAAAAAACCATAAAGGCACTAGCACCACACCCATTCCATGAATTTCGATTCTTATAAAATTGTATTTGCACATTGCAACAAGTTGCATCCTTCTGTTTAGGTGAAACTAGATAGCATAATCTAAATTACGCGCAATGAGTGAAACCAAATTTGTTGCAGATTGGCGAAAAAGATCAAACAAGAAAATTTGATAACATGATCTATGAAATACCACTGAATGTCTGCGATTTGAGAATTCGAAAACGAATTCGTATTTATAAATTAAAAAAAAAATTATAGATAAATTTGAAGCGAAATCCGTAAAATTAACAGCTGAGAAAGGAAATAATAATCTTTATTTAATATTATCGAAATAAAAAATCAAATTCACAGGTATATCTCAAAAAGGGAAATAAAACAGAGAATTTAATTAAGGAAAACAAAGAATATAACAAGAAGGCTGACGAATTCATTTAAAAAATGAATAAATAATCGGAAAATATTAATTACAAGAAGCAGAATCCAAGAGAAGACATAGAAAAGAAAAAAAAAACGAAAGATTAATCAAAACCTTAAGTGAAACGTAAAAAAATTTAAAAAAAAATGATATAAAAAATGGAATATTAAAGGGAAAAAGGAAAGAGGAAAGTTACCGCCATGATTTTGTTAGGGGACAGATTGGAATGCAGAGAGTCGCTCTAGTATTTTTGCCTTCTCCTCTGCTCTCCGCTTTGTTTTGTTTGATGATTTTGATTGTTTTTGGATTTCGGACAAAGGAGAGAGAAGGAAGGTGTAGCAAATGGAACGGAAAGAGAGATATGAATAGGGACTGGGATCGGTGGGGACCCACTACTCTTTTGGACGTTCGTGTTTTATTAACTTCAAATAGTATTTAATTACTATTTTGGCTGGCAGCTACGCAATTGCAGGCACGCCCACCAATTAGATTAGATAAGATAGGGTTATTCCTAATTTTTTTTTTCTAAAAAATCATTTGTACAATAGCCAGTATAATTTTAAATACAACACTTTAATGTGATATAAAAATATGAAAATAAATATTATTGAAAATTTATATAAATTTAATAAAATAAAAAATATTTTATATTGAACGTATTCATTTACATAATATATATCATAAAATAAAATAAGAATACATGAATCATATATTTACCATACTAAGATCTTAATAAAATAAAATTCGGATACGCGAATTTTACAACTGCTGTATTGAGATCTTATGCATGGCATTCATCAATGCGTCAAATAATCTTCGAAAAAAGTATGACAAGATTCCCAAGTATTAGGGCCAGGTACACTCTAATTCATAATCATTTGTTGTTTTCGTTTCATGCACTTTGTCTTTCTTATTAACAATTTCTGACATGATGAGAGTCACCTTTCTGCCTTGTTTTGTTGTCTGCAGATACTTAATGATGCTGGTTTTGATGAGGTCGTTGCAGTGTAGAGGATCATAATAATATTATTGACAGCTTGTTTATTGAGTTCTTATTATTATTGATATTAGTATATTTTAAATTCATAACATTTATTTATTTAATAAGATAAAATTGAATCCTTAGTGATATACATTACATCCCACAATGTCAATTAAGAGCATCTAAGCCAATAATAATGTTGCATTGTTACTGCTTTAAATGGAAAATCAATAAAAGTTTGATATGTATGAGACTTACCAAACATTAAAAAAAATGCTTACAGAAGCTCTACAACAAGTGCAGATGCACCTCCACCTCCATTGCAAACACCACCTATTCCGTATTTCCCATTTCTCTGCTTCAATACCCCCAAAAGTGTGACCAAGATACGGGCTCCACTGCAACCCAAAGGATGTCCCAACGATAGGGCTCCACCATTCACATTCACCTTCTCCTGTAACCATTTAAGGAGGAAGAGATTAACAAGAATGAAATAGGTAATATTCTTGCTGACAAAGCCTGACTGGGGAAAGGGAAAAAGAGAACTACTTCACAATATGACATACTTATGTAACTCCCTTGTAGCAGTTCATCCTATCAATTCACATGTTTAAAACTTGAAATGCAAAAGCAGATGCTTTTGAAAGAGAAAGAGAACTCACTGGATTAAGCTCCAGCAGTTTCTGGTTTGCAAGAGCCACAACCTGCAGAGAATGGTGCATTATTTCAAAACTGCCGACTTCATCAATAAGAAAATAATACATTTAGAAAAAGGAACGGAATCTTACAGCAAATGCTTCATTGATTTCATAGTAATCAATTTGAGAAGCATCCAAGCCAGCATTGGAGATGGCTTTTGGTATTGCAAGGGCTGGAGCTGTTGTGAAAAACTCTGGTGCCTAGAATCATTCTCGCATAAGTATCAAGTTGTATGACAATTAATGTCAAAAGTAAAGTTTGAGGTTTCTGATTTGGAAGTTTCTCTAACACATTTCATCATATTTAAACATAGTTGCGCAAAGTACCTGAGCAGCATCTGCATATCCTGTAATCTTTGCAATCACCTGCAGTCCTAGCTTAAGTGCCTGTTCTCCACTCACTAGGACTAAAGCTGCAGCACCATCACTGTCAATAAGACCAACTTCACTTTAATTACAAACTCCAGATCATGTCCTTAAAAGACTTATGAGGTCAAATTGAAATCATTCCTTAATTTTGAACCCATGACCAAACAGGCAACTGCATGATTGCACAACACTCAATAAGAGGCCTATAGAAAAACATTTGTCAAAGTGGAATATAAGTTATAGATATAGGACAACCAAATTGGTTTACTGAAGAAACCAGTCAAAAGGTGAGCCTTTTACTTAAGCATTCCAATTTGGTAATGGTTTAACATAAACGAAATTCTGGCCTATGTATATAAGTGAATAAAGATGTTAAGTAATTGACCTTATGCTGGAGGCGTTGCCGGCAGTAACACTGCCATTCTCCTTGAAACTTGGTCGCAGCTTCCTCAATTTTGCAGCATCAAACTAAAAAGAAAGCAATATTTAAAATGCCCATTACTAGCAGATCTAATATCAATGATTCTATGTGATTTATTTAGGCAATTTATGAGATGAAAAGAAAGAAGAAAAGAACAAGAAGCAGTGAAATGTGAAAAATGGCATACAGTTCTAAAGTATGTTTACCTTTCCTAAACCTTCATCCTTGTCAACTATGGTGGATGGCTTTCCTCTCCCCACAGAAACTTCAACCTGCACAGTACCAATTTAGTTTTATATAGAAGTATATACATAACAATGCAGAAACTTAATATGAAGAACATGTCTAACCGGAATAATTTCCCATGCAAAGGCTCCACCCTGTTGGGCAGCAATACCACGCTCAAAGCTCTGAATAGCAAAATTATCCAGCAGAAATCGTGAAGATATTAAGTACAAATTCCTAGCCAGGCAAGAAATTTTGTTTCGGCAAGTGACCCTTGTAGAGAACACCGTACCTGGTCCTCCCTTGTAATAAGATGTTTCTCAGCACATAATTCAGCACAGCTGCCCATTCCACAATCATTATAAACATCCCATAGTCCATCTTTCATCATTCCATCGACAAGTATCATGCCCAAGCCGAGATCCTTTCCTGCATGCTAATATTGAATCAGAAATCACAACTTGAATACAACAACAAGGGAACCATGAATGAGAGAAAGGTATTAACCTTTGCTTCTGCCAAATATTTAGGTGCATTAGACATGCTCTCCATGCCACCAGCCACAACAACATCATTGATGCCCAACTGAATGCTCTGTGCTGCAAGCATTGTTGCTGCAATACTCCCAACCAAAAAGAAGAGAAAAGAAAAGAAAATTCATTTAAAAAATCTCCTTTTAAGGTTTTTAAAACAATAACTTCTAAATTATAAAGTTCACACCTTTCATCCCTGTGGTACAGATAACTGAGTTAGGAATTCCTGCACCTAATGCAGCCTGTCTAGCTGGAGCCTGCCCCAGATTTGACTGACTACATTTCCAAAGAAAACTTCTTGCACAAGTGATGGATCAACATTTGCCCTCTTAAGAGCCGCTGCAAGTTGATTTATATATAGAAATTAAGAAAATTGGAAGAGCATCCTAAGAGTATAGAAATGAGCCCAATTATCAGACAGGTCAACCAAGGTTTTTACAATCAAACCTTCTATAGCTATTGATCCAAGCTTGGTGGCAGATAAAGATGACAGGGAGCCAAGGAATCCACCCATTGGAGTATGTGCAACACCAACAACACAAACATCTGTACAAAATATACAACAATGATTGAACAAACCATCAGCAGCCCAAATTTGAAGTTTTAGTTATCTTAAGGGAAATGAAAAAACCAATCTATTGTCCTCAAATAATCTCTATAGTTTTATATGCTAAAGCGTTTATGGTAAAGGATTATTATCTGTGCAAGTTGACAAAAAAGCTGATTTATGCACTTGGCACACATCTCTCTACCTATAAATAAAGAAATCATTATTCAATTACTACTATAACATAGTTAGTTAAGTTGATAATTGATATATATAAAGTGTATAAATCTGCTTGTGGAGTTTTTAAACTCAACCTCCAATATATAAAGTAATAATCCAAAGGTAAGAGTTATCAACTATGCAAAACTTTCTAGATCATGCATCAAAACATAGAGAATTTAACACCTCTAGGCTTTATTGAATCCGAAGCTGTTGCAGCTAGTGGAGCCATAGGTGAATCTAAAATGGATCTGCAGCAAGTACAAATTAGTATAAGCTATTGCTTAACAGAAACATAATACTAGCAATTATAGTTAAAGGGATAGTCATAATCCTTGTGAATCAAACCACAAACTTTATGTGGGGCATCATTAGAGAAAATTTTGCTCTGTTCTTCTTATCAAACTTCACGGCAAAAGCATGAAGTAACTTTGCATTAAAATGAAAGAAAAAAAAAACCTTTGTCACTTTCTTTCTAGCAACCCAAAAAGTTGATCTAAAAGAACTTGTTTTCGCTTCTTAGATACGTTCAATTTAAAAAAAAAAAAAAGGCGAAAATTCCACTGTACTACTTGACTGGATAAACTTGAAAACACGAGAAAATTTTTTTAAAAAAAGTATAAACAAGAAAATCGCAAGATAGAAACAGATCTGATTTGAGCAAGAAATTCGATTAAAGATTGAAAAGATCAAAGTTCCCGAGTAAGAAAAAAAAAAGCAGAATCAAAGGAATAAAACGTTTTGCGTGGAGCAAGAAAATGCGCCGGAAAAACGGGGAAGAATGTGCGGGAAATCGTGTTTTAAATAGAGAAAAAAAAAACACACACACACACACACACAAAAGAAGTGTAACCGAAAATTATTAGGAGAAAATAGAAAATTGGAAAAATACCTGTGGGGACTTTCGTTAGAAGATGATGCAGAAAAACGAGATAGTAATATCCTTGAAGTTAACGTATTTATAGAAGGGAGAAGCACGACCCGAGCACGTGCCTCACGAAAGAATGTTCATTTACGAATCAACCTAATACAAACTATTTATTGACAATTGTGTCCATTATCCTTTCAAGTTATTACTTTACCAACTTGCATCAGCTATGTACGGATTATTTTTATTTTATTTAAATTTGAATAAAAATAAAAATAAAAATTATTAAATTATTTATATATTTAAAATATATATAACATATAAGTAATATAATTAAAATATTAAATCCTAATAAAAATAAAATTTTTTATTTTAAATTCTATTGAACGCTATAAAGAATTTTTTGTTCTATAATTGTAGAGTTCTTATAAGATTTATATATTT